AACTGGGACGTACTGAGTGAGGGTTTGAAGACCTTGACGCCTCCCCATGACACTCCTCCTCCCACTTCTTTTAAGATTTGTTTTTATTTAGGGCCTGGCGCAGTGGTCTAGCGGTTAAAGTCCCCACCTTGAACGCACCCAGATCCTATATGGACACCAGTTCTAATCCCGGCAGCTCCATTTCCCATCCAGCTCCCTGCTTGTGGCCTGGGAAAGCAGTGGAGGATGGTCCAAAGCCTTGGGACCCTGCACCCGCATGGGAGAACTGGAGGAAGTTCCTGTCTGCTGGCTTCGGATTGGCATAGCACTGGCCATTGTGACCATTTGGGGACTGAAGATCTTCCTCTCTGTCTCTCCTCCTCTCTGTATATCTGACTTTGCAATAAAAATAAATAAATCTTAAAAAAAAAAGATTTGTTTTTATTTAAAAAGTAGATTTGACAGACAGGTCTTTTATCCGCTAGTTCACTCCCCAGATGGCTGCAATAGCCGGAGTTGAGCTGATCCAAAGCTGAACCAAAAGCTTCCCCCTGTATCCCACAGGAGTGCAGGAACTCAAGAACTTGGACCATCTTCAGCTGTTTTCCCAGCAGGGAGCTAGATCAGAAGTGGAGCAGCTGGGGCATGAACTAGTGCCTATATGGGATGGCGGATGCTGGTGGAGGAATATCTGGCTATACTACCACACTGACCCCTCCCTCCCACTTCTGTCCATACTTGCTCTGTGGTGCCTCTGCAGCTGGGCCATCTCCTTGGCTACCCTCCCCAGCCCATGGGTAACAGGTGGGTGGGGAGGACATGGGGCTTACAGCCATGCCTGTAATTATAATTCTCCTGCTGGCTACAGCTCAGTGGCGAAGCAGGGCCTCGACCCATCTGGAGTTGAGCACTGTCTATCGGCTCCACCTTTCCCTATGTGCAGGACCCCTTGAGAAGTCATTTGACAGATGACAGTGAAATGGCACAGAAGCCAGCATACTGGCTGTTCTCAATGTGTGGGAATGCCACCAATGGGGTGGTGTGTGTGTGTGTGTGTATGCAGAGACTGCCCACAACAACCTGAAGCCGGCCCCTACTTCCACAAAAACTGCTAGAGCTCCGAGCCACTCTGCTCAGCAGTCGGGGAAAAAGACCCCTGCCACTGTCCCCATCATTAAGCCTCTCTCCTGGAACCTGAGCTTTGGGGCCACTAACAACCCTGGCTCACCCCCCCACCCCCGTGTGACCTTGGACAAATGACTTCTTCCTCTCTGAGACACAGCTTCGTCCGCCATACCACATGAAGAGGGATACCTACTCCACGGGACTGTTGGCAGTGTTAAGCAAGATCTGCCATAAGAAGCCTTTAACACTAGTCAAGGTTCCACAAAGGTTAAGTGTTTTTCCTGAATAACAATGAGAATAATTAAAATCATGGCAGCTTCTGAGTGCCTGCTGATTAAAATCCAATTTCCATGACCCAGCCCTTGGCCCCTGCCTGCATGGATGCCACGTTCATGCCAGATGTGGCTTTGTCACCTCTGTGTCTCCACCCACGATTGTGCACTGCCTACTCCCCGACACCTCTCACCTGTCACCACCCCCTGCCCACTCAAGCGTCACTTCCCAGCTAAGCCAGAGTCCTCTCTGTTGCTCTAGGTCCCCACACTGCCCAGGACCTGTCACTGTTGGAGTGGGGAGCCAGCTTCTGTCTGCACCTGTCTCCCCCACCCTCCTTGCCTTCAAGGGTTCATTCTGGCTTTGCCCTAATGGGGCCTGTGCCCAGACCTCAGGCAGGGTCATATGATGAACTAACCGTGAACATCTGCCCGAGCTGAGCGGATGAGAATCATTCCTGGAATGCTGTAGCAACCACTGCTTCTCCACAGGCATGGCTGAGCCTAAGCAGTGTGAATTCAGAGCTGCTCAGCGTCTACCTGTCACCCACACAAGAGACATGAACTTGGAGTGAGTCGTGCAGAGGAACCAGGAAGCAGAGAGGGAAGAAATCTCCCTGGCCTTAGGTGAGCATCTGGGCCCATGTGTGCCTGTAAATCTTGACTTTCAATGAGGCAATGAGCCCGAAACTCCTCTGAGCTTACGTAAGCCTTTCAGGGTGGGCTCCCGTCGCCTGTCATTTCGGACTCTGGTCCAACTAGATGCTTGGCTCCCTGAGAGCAAGGGGCTGCATGTGGGAGAGGGAAGGTCTGCTGGGGCACAGCTCGGTTCTGCAACACCAAGATCAGAGAGGAGCTCAGGGCAGGTGGGACGCACACACAGGAGGTGTCTCTCCTTGTATTTTCCCAGTGGCCCAGTGCTCTGCACTGAGAAGAGTTTCAACAACTCGAACAAGGGTTTGCAGGAGTCAGGGTCGTCTGATGGGCATCGAAGGGCTACCAAAACCAATCCAACTGCCTCTATCCCTCCACAGTCCAGATGAGAAAACAGACCTAGGGACACTGCCTGGCAAGTCACAGGCAGAGCTGGACGAAATGCCCAAGCCATGACTCATCATCCAGTGCTCTAAGTGTGTGTTAAGTAAAGTGAGCCAGTCACTTTCCCAGGGAACCCACAAATCTGTGGGCAAAGAGGAATCAATGGCTCAACCTCTGCCCTCAGGGATGTGGCAGTAACACCAAGGAAAATGCCCTGGGTTGAGCAATGAGCTGCAGGCATCCTCCCTTGCTGGTCACTGTGTCACCTTTCCAATGGGGGAGTCGAGTGGAAGACATGAAGGAACAGACCACTGAAGCACTTGAAAGTCTACAAGTACATGGCCGTTGTGGAACAATTTCATAAATTCACAGGATGAAATCCACATGGATGACAGAGAATTTGAAGGCCAAAAGGTGAGCAGCCCATCTGTGGACTCCAAGTTAATGTTGATGAATCAGGGACCCAGCTGAGCATGCAGTCTTTCTAGCGTATCTTAGCAAGAAAGAATGGAAATACACAGTAGCCCCTCTCTAGGCACCATTAAGAAAATAGAGACAGACTTCCCACAGCTTACAATGCTCCTTCCTCACCCATAGGTAAGTTGGGCTGGGGAAGACGGATTTGCACAGACCCATTAGGGTGTCTGGATACATAACAAACATATTTATGTACACACTGCATTTTTTTTTAAATTGGAAAAGCAGATCAGATTCATGAAGAGAAGGAGAGACTAAAAGATCTTCCATCTATTGGTTCACTCCCCAAATAGCTGCAATAGCTGGAGCAGAGCTGATCCAGAGCCAAGAGCCAGAAGCTTCTTCTGGGTCTGGGTTTCAAGGTTTTGGGCCATCCTCTGCTGCTTTTCCAGGCCATGATCAGGGAACTGGATGGGAAATGGAGTGGTTATGGTTCTGATCCAGCTCCCTGTCAATGCATCTGGCAAAGCAGTGGAAGACAGCCCAGATGTTTGAGGCCCTGACCCCAAAGTGGGAAACTCCGACAAAGCTCTGGGCTCCTAGCTTCAACCTGGACCAGCCTAGGCTGTTGAAGACATTTGCAAATGAAGCCGTAAAAGGAAGATCTCTCTCTGCCCCCCCCCTCCGCTGCACTGTCAGTTTTAGTATATGTGATGCTGAAGCAAGCATATCTTTGTTGCACTGCCTTCCAAATAAGTAAATAAACCTTCCAAGAGAAAATTATTTCTTATTAAAAATTTAAAAATATTAATAAAATGCTCTTCTAGGAGTTGGAACAGTTTTTGCAATGGGACAGTGTTTCCTGCAAGCATCTGCAAAAGTCCTTTTGGGGACACTGACCTGCCTCCCACCTTTCTCTTCACACCCTGATTTGCATCCTAGGGACAGTTCCTCGTCTGGCCGCCCACCTTACTGCCTACCCTTGGTCCTGAACGACTTCTCATCATTTGCAGAAATCACATCCCTCCTTTAAGAGACACGGGTCTCTTCTCAATGACCATGTGCCAGGAAACACATCCCCTGCTCCAAAGCCAATTCCCTGAGCACGAAGCAGCAGCATTATCGGCAAGTGACAGCACGTGCCTTCCAGGGGTCTCCTCAAAGGGCCAAACACTTGTTGCATGTCCTGCTTATTAAACAAAAATCTTTGCTGCATGACGGTGATATGCCCCTCATGAACCCTTGAAGGAACTCAAACATCCCCCTTGCCCTCACCAGCCCTCCTCCCCCATTTCCACCCACCCCTGGCCCCATTTTCTCCAGCTCAACTCTCTGCCCTGCTGCAATTAGGCAAACGCCCAAACTGCTGAATCCTTGAAATCCATCTTCGATCGAAAGGTAGGCAGAGGCAGGGGATGCTAATGGATCCTGGAGAACTGCCTCAGCATTTCTCATTCCCCAAAGACTCCGCAAAGGCTCTCAGGGCTCAAGGACCATCTTCACTACACATGTCACAGGGTCCTGGTGACCCATTCTCAGACCTCAGCCTGCAGCAGCGGGTCCAGGGGGACGTTCTCTCTAGGGATCATGTTGGCAGGTGCTGCTCATCACCCACATCTCAGAGCTTGAACCGACTCTGCTGACGGCCTCCTCCCCCTCCCCACCCCATCAGAGCACCTTAGAGTTTATGATGTGGTCTCCCATTCGGGCCCTGGGAACCCCTCCCCACTTAGCCTTGCAAATGAGAAAGCCAAACCTCAGGGAAGGAAAAAAGTGCAGCACTCAACTTGGTCATGCAGCATGTGAAAAGTCCCAACCTGATGGCTTAACTGCCCATCTCACCTTTTTTGTGTTTCAGTGCAACAGAAAACCTCGAGCAACCTCTAAGACAGCCCACACAGATGCTTAGCACAGTGCTAACCCATACACACATATGTGTTCGACCAAGCACACACACACACACACACAACCACCGGAGCATCAAGGCTCTGCACCTGCCCCAAGGTATCCCTCACCGAATCCCCTCCCTGATGGCTGTTAAGGATTGGCCAAGAAGGGTCTTGCACAGAACAGCAGGTGCTCCCCCTAAGAAACAGCCCGCATCCCAGGCGCCAGTCTGGTGGTGGCGGGTGAGGGAAGGGTCCCACCCCAGCCCCCGTCCCGCCCTACCTGCCAAGAGCTGCATCCAGGCGCAGATCTTGTAGACCGTGGCGGTGTTACAGAAGAAGAAGAGCGCGAAGCAGGTGATGCAGCCGAGGATCAGCACCATGGAGAGCAGCACGAAGAAGGCGGCGGCCTTGAAGGCGCCGGACGGGATGGTGCTGAAGTCGGTGAAGGAACCGCGGCAGGTGAGCTCGCGGCCCGCCAGCCCGCTGCCCACGCAGTAGTGAAAGAGACCGAAGTAGCCAGGCTTGGGAGTGCTCACGCTGTCGCCCACCCAGTAGGGCTGGATGAAGACCACCACGTTGATGATGGCGAAGCAGATGGTGAAGATGGCCCAGAGCACCCCGATGGCCCGCGAGTTCCGCATGTAGTGCTCGTGGTAGAGCTTGGAGGCCTCCTGCGAGGGCAGCATGGTGCCGGGGGCGGGGCCGGCGGCGGGGGCTGGGGACACGCGAGAGCCGCCTGAGGCCCCGGCCCGCGAGCGCGGGGCCCGGGGCCGGGGGCGGACGTGGAGGGTCGTGCGCACGTCGCAGCGGCGTCGGGGACACTGACGAGCAGCCCTCGGCGGAGGGGGAGGGGGCTAAGAAGGGGCCATGGGTAAGTCGGAGGAGCTGAGAGGATATGGGAGCGGGGGTAGGGCTGGGGGCCGGTGGGGAGGTGGGATGGAGGCTGGAGACTGGAGGAGCTGGCTGGGGTGTGGGGACACGTTCAGGAAGCTTGGAAGGGAATTGAGGGCTGGCACCTCCAGGCAGAGGGGTCCGGAGAGGGGCTGCCGAGGAGAACACAGGGCAGGTGCTTGCGGATTAGGAACGGGGTGCTGAGGCCAAGGCAGGGAATAAGGCCAGTAGGAGAGTCCGAGAGGACATAGCGGCGGAAATAGGACCAGACTGGGATGGAGAGGATTCGGGAGCTCAGACTGCAGGGTCTGGGCGCGGGGCGGGGGTGGGGGTGCACCTCGGAAGCCGGGGCTGGATGCAGGCGGGGAGACGCCTGGGGTTGGTGGCCCTAAGGCAGGGACGAGGGGCTTCCCGGGTCAGGGAAAAGAGACCGCGGCTGGAGGGGGTAGCCTGGGCCACGAGGGGCTGGCGGTGGTTAGGGGATGTCCTGGGGGTGCCGGGCAGCTGTGGGGCCCCGGTAGGGCCGAGGTGGGAGGCGCTGCCCCGCGCCCAGGCTGGACGCGCGCAGAGGCTGCAGCCGTGGAGAGAGGGTCCGGGGAGACCAACCTGGGCCCGGCGCGGGCGGCGGGTCCGGGACTGGCACGGCCTAGGAGCCGCGGTTCGGCGCTCCCAGCAGCGGCTGCCTGGGCCCAGGCGGCGGCCTCTGCGCGGCCTCCATCTTGCTGGGGTTCTCCCCGGAGCGCGCTCCCGCTCCTAGCGCGCGCACTCGGGCACCGGCGCGGCCCGGCGGAGGCGCGCGCCCGCGCGGGCGGGCAGAGCGGACAGCCCGGGGGAGGAGCGCTGCAGGTTCTGGCGGGGGGGGAGCAGCCTCGGTCCCCGGGGTTCCCCGGTGGGGTCCTCCGGCTGCGGAGACTCCCTCCAGTCAGAGCCGTGGAGCTGCGGGTCCCCACAAAAGCCTGTGAGAACGTGAAAAGGCGCTCCCAGGGGCAAAGCTTACCGGGGCCGCAAGCTGATGTCTGGCTCCCAAATTGCCACCCCACACACACAAACCCCGCAACCTATCAGCGCCCGAAATCGCGCCACTGCGCCTCCAGTGCTTTGGGTCTCGCAGGCGTCGAAGTTCCTAGCCTCCCAGGAGACTGGCGGCACCCCGGGAGAGGAACCCCCGAAACCACCAGCAGCCCACGCTTGCAACGGGGATTCCTTGGCCGTGCAAAGAGCTGGGCCTGGGCGGCAGGATTCAGGGTGAGTACTGCGGTTGAGCAAGGCCAGGGTTGATGGACATGTTGATTGCCCCCCCCCCCCCACAGCGTCCTGACTGGAAGGTGCCCCGGCTCTGTGCGGCCAGACTGGGTCAGAACCAGCATCGCTATGAGTAACGCCTGGGGCCCAGTCCTTGCAGACACTTCAGGCCTAGTGTGTGGTGGGGGTGTGAATTCGACAGTCTGGGGACCACACCTCTACCCTTAAAAAAATAAACTGGACACGGTGCTTGCTTTGTGGTGGGAGCAAATAGTTGAGTAATAACCAGATGATTTGTGGCAGTATGCAAGACAGAGGTTCTCTCTCTCTCATTTCTTGTTTTTGTTGAGCTGGGAATTGTAAGCTGTGCCTCATGAGGCCCAACTGGCAAATGGAGAATTCTGATGACTAGGTTCGAGCGCCTTGGTTCAGCCATGCGCCTTGCTTCAGCCAGTTCTGGACTGTTCTGCTAAGGTGAGCCAATATGTTTTCATCTTATTGAAGTCTGTGTGAGAGGAGTTGTGTCACTTTCAGTAACAGTCCTAGTACTTTACCTACCCTCCCCAAAGGAGAGACAGGGGCTGCTGTGCTGGGTTACCTACCTTACAGAAGGACACTTGAGTGGGCGAGGCCCTTCCCTGTCGCGGTTACCCATAGGACCCAGGATCCAAGCACTGGCTCTCCCGACAGCCTTACGTCTTCATTTGTAAAGCAGAGAAAACAAACACATGAAAAGAAGATGAGGGATAGATAGATAGATAGTCAACCGAAAAAGGCTATAAATAAAAGTAATTGTCATTAAAGATTCATAACAAGAGACTTATTTGCAGAATGGAAGGAGCAGTCGGACTGACTGGAACTGTACTTGCTGAGCTGTCAGTAGCTGGGCCAGGATGTAGCCTCCTTTCCAAGACCTGGAGCTGGGACAGAAAGAAAATGGGAGGACTCTTCATGGAAAGAGCATCTTTGGGACTCCGGAAGGGGTGGATCAGAAGGGAAGGGTCCTGGGGACAGGTGGGGCCTACAGACTCCCAGACAAGGCTGGTGCTGGGCAGGACCCCTGGGTGAGAGAGGAGGCCCCTGGGTACTCCCTGGCAGTATACTGCTGCAGCAACTCCTGTATGTCCTAGTGCCCACAGTGAGCCCTTAGCTGGGTCTCACAGTCATTAAGCTCTTGCTCTATTCCACATCCTTGATGGATGCTGCCATGTGCTGTCTCGTTTAACCTCTTCAGTAACTCACTCTATGGGAATATGTTAGTGGCTGAATTGTCTCCCCTGCAAAATTTCTAAGCTGACATCCTTTTTTTTATGATTTATTTTTGATTTGAGGGGGCTGGCATTGTGGCACAAGGATTAAGCCACCACCTAAAATGCCAGCATCCCAGACAGGCGCCAGTTCAAGTCCCAGCTGCTCCACTTGCCATCAGGCTCCCTGCTAACGTGCCTGGGAAAGCAGCAGCAGATGGCCCAAGTGCCCGAGCCCTTGCCACTCATGTGGGAAATCCAAATGATGATCCAGGCTCCTGGCTTCTGACCGACCCAGGCCCAGCTGTGTGAACTAGTAGACAGAAAATCCCCCTCTCTCTCTCTCAGTCTGTTACTTCTTTGAAGCAAATTATCTATTTTTAAAAATATATTTTTTATAAACTAATGAAACTAGAAATTAGAAACAAAATGAATTAGAAACAAATGAAATTAGAAACAAAACATAACAATCCTTATGGGATACAGTAATAGCACTACTAAAGGAATTTGACAGGTTTTTTTTTTTTCTTTCTAATTTTTATTGGAAAGTCAGATTTACATAGAAAAGAGGAGAGACAGAACGATCTTCCATCCATGTAGTTTATTACCCGAGTGGCCGCAAAAGCTAGAGCTTAGCCGATCTGAAGCCAGGAGCCAGGGGAACCGTTTGGGTCTTCTACACAAGTCCCAAGGCTTTGGACTATCCTCGACTGCTCTCCCAGGCCACAAGCAAAGAGCTTGAAGGAAAGAGGAGCAGCTGGGACACGAACTGGCACCAATATGGGATCCTAGTGTATGCAAGCAAGAACTTTAGCCAATAGGCCAGTGCGCTGAACCCTATGAAGGAACTTTAAAGCAATGAGGGCCTACATTAAAAACAAAAAGAAGATATCATAGGACTGGTATGGTGGCTCAACTGATTAATCCTTCTCCTGCAAGCATCACCATGTCATATGGGCAATGGTTTGTGTCCTGACTGCTCCACTTTTTTTTTTTTGATGTTTCACTTTTTTAAAAAAAGATTTATTTATATTTTTTACAAAGTCAGATATACAGAGAGGAGGAGACACAGAGAGGAAGATCTTTCGTCCAATGATACACTCCCCAAGTGACCACAATGGCCAGTGCTATGCCAATCCAAAGCCAGGAGTCAGGAACTTCCTCCAGGTCTCCCACACAGGTGCAGGGTCCCAAGGCTTTGGGCCGTCCTCGACTGTTTTCCCAGGCCACAAGCAGGGAGCTGGATGGGAAGTGGGGCTGCTGGGATTAAAACCGGTGACCATATGGGATCCCAGGCACATTCAAGGCGAGGACTTTTAGTTGCTAGGCCACGCCGCCAGGCCCTCCTTCTAATTTTGAAATCAGCAGAGTCTTCTTTTTCCCTCCAGATTGTACTGGCAGTTCCAGTTCCATATACATTTAAGAGTCTTCTTACCTATTTCTTCGGAAGTGCTTACCGGAATTTCGCAGGTTGTGTTGAACCTGTAAATCAGAATCGACATCTTACAGTCAATAAACAAACAGACTCTCCCTTTTTTTGGGTTTCCTTTGATTTCTCAGCAATGCATTGTTTGCAAGGTACAAGCCTCGGATTTCTTTGTTTTGTACACTTCCCGATGTAACCAGATTGGATATTATCACCTTGTTAATGTGCTTTGTTTTAGATCCATATGTTCTCCTAGTTTCCACTTTCTCTTCATTTCATCCACCAATTACTTTATTCATTGCCCCATTATATATATGTGTGTGTGTATATATATGTATATGTATATATGTTTTTTTTTTTTATTGGAAAGGCAGATATACAGAGGAAGCTCTGCCTGCTGGTTCAGTCCCAAAGTGGCTACCTCTGAGACACTAACCTGCACCCACATAGGATCCTAGGCGTGCAAGGTGCAAGATGAGGATTTTAGTCACTAGGATACTGCACTGAGCCTATACATCTAACTTAATTTTTGTAAAAATCTTTATTTTCATTTTACTTGGAAGAGCAACAGGCAGAGCAACATCTTTTGGCTCATTCCCCAACTGGTCCATGCAGCCAGGTGTGTGCCAGGCCAAAGCCAAGGGGTGGGAATTCCATCCTGGTCTCTCTTGTGGATTTCATGGACCCCAGTACTGGGCCATCATCTGTCTGTTGCCTTCCCAGAGACATTAGCCAGAAGCTGCCTGGGAAGCAAAATAGCTGAGACAGCTACATTAAATTTTTATTTTCTTGGGCCCACATCGTAGCTCAACAGGCTCATCCTCCACTTCCAAGAGCCAGGATCCCACATGGGCGCCAACTTGTGTTTTGGCTACTCCACTTCTGACCCAACACAGTCAAGGTCTTAGGACCCTACACCTGTAAGGAGACCTGCAAGAGGCTCTTGGCTTCTGATCAGCTCAGCTCCTGTCATTGCAGCCATTTGGGGGATGAACCAGCAGTTGAAAGATCTTTCTGTCTCCCTTTCTCTCTACAAATCTGCCTTTGAAATAAAAGTGACTAAATGTACAACAAAAATGTACTTTCCAACTCTACATGAAATGCAAAAATTTTGCAGTGCTTTAAGTCATCCAACTCTTCTCATACTTTTTTCCCTTTTTCTTTTCTTCTTTTTTAAAGATTTTATTTGTTTTTATTGGAATGGCAGACCAGAATTTATGGCGAGAAGGAGAAACATAGAGAAAGATCCTCCATCCAGTGTTTTACTCTGCAAATGGCCGGCTGCATCTGCTGGAGCTGAACCAATCTGAAGCTAGGAGTGAACTGTATAAATCATATCTGGATGGAAAATTGTTTAAAAGCTCTTAGGAGCCTAGTTGTTTTTTAAATGGCTCTTGTGAACATTCCTTAAGGAAAAAAAATTGATTCATATTGAAAGGCAGAGTTAAAGAAAGAAGGAGAGACAGAGAGAGAGAGCCTCTGTCTACTGGTCCATTCGCCAAGTAGCTGCAACAGCCAGAGCTGGGCTGTTCCAAAGCAGAAAGGGGTCCAGAAGCTTCAAGGGCCATCCTCTGTCATGTTCCCTACCGTGTGAGCAGGGAGCTGGAATGGAAGTGGAGCAGCCAGGACATGGTCCAGTGCCCATATGGGATGCTGGCACTTGGAGGTAGAGGATTAACCAGTTGAGTCAACATTCCCTCCCCACACACATTTTTTTCAGAAGTTGTTGTTTGGATACATTTTTGTTTGTTTATTTGACAGGTAGAGTAACAGTGGAAGAAAAAGAGGATCTTCTACCCTCTGGTTCACTTCCCCAAATGGCTGCAACAGCTAGAGCTGGCCAGGCTGAAGTCAGGAGCCAGGAATTCCACTTGAATCTCCACATGGATGGCAGGTGCCAAGTCCTTGTGCCATCTTCCTCTGCCTTCCCTAGCCTGTGAGTAGGGAGCTGGGTCAGAACCCGACCAGGGCCTGAGCTTGCACTTCAGTCTGAGATGCTGGGTATCTTGTGCCACATACATAACAGCTGCAGGCCAGCTGTAACGAGTGTGCTTCTTACACCCAGACTCCATTTTGCACCTGTTGGTGGTCTGTGTCAATGAGGGTATTCTGCAGTGATTTCATCGTGCTTGGAATGGCGAGACTGACAGCAATTCAGAACTGTTGAATTATCAAAACCACTCTAGCAGGAGCCTGGGAGCGTGCCCCACAGTGGGGACCTGGGATGAGTGGGAGGCTGGGTGGGGCTTCTCCCTTTATCTCCCCCTTTACCCCAAATACAGAAAAAAAAAAAAAGCAATAATGTGGAAACACTAACCTTACCCAGTTACCTTGTGTGTGACCCTTTTTGCCCTAATCAACTATGTAAAAATTGTGAAAAATAAAGGAAAAAAAATCTTGCAGAAGTTCTCTGGGATCCAGAAAGGCTTTTCAGAAGGCGGACTTCTGGGCCTCCTTCTTCCAGGTTTTCATCTTTCTGAAGTGGCCTTCTAAATCCCACAGGCTGGTCTTTGCCCTCCCACACTGTGGCAGAGGCTCTCAGGGAAAGAGCCCCTGGGCCTGCCTCGGCGGGCCTCCTATCCCTCAAGGCTCCTCCCTGGCTTCAAGCCCAAAAGTCACTTCACACAGGGCTCAGCTTTTATGGTGGGGTTGGGCAGCCACTCAAGCATCGAGCAGTGTCCCACAGCACCGACTGGCCCATTAGTACACTCCGTAAGGGGATGTCTTCTTTATTAATCTCACTTCCTCATTCCTCTGTAGATACTTTTGGGGATCGTTTCCTTATTTAATGGCTTGCATGCAAACTTGGGTCACGTGGACTGCTTCTACCAGAACCAACACCAAAAGCAGAAGTTTCTAGAAATGCTTCCCTACAGACCACTTCCGCTGCGGATGGGGGTGAACTGGGTGGGAGGGGAGCAGAGACGAACGCTGCAGCTCAGCATGGCTGTTTCCCCCACCTGCTGCCGGCTGACCACACTGGAAAGATACAAGGTTCATTGCCAGGATGTTGGTTCTCTAGCCATTATTCACTTCCGCAAAAGTGCAAGAAGATCACACATTTAAGTCAGCTGAATTCTCAGCTCTGTAGTCATCCCTAGAAAACTTGCAGGGCCGTGTTCAAAGAGACACTGTCTTCACTGTCTCTGTAGCCAGAGGGCAGCCTAGGCTCAAGACCTGGCCCAGGACTTGGTTTTCCAAAGGTGAATTTGTGTCTCCTGCAAAAATAATAATAATAGGGCCCAGTGCGATGGCCGCAGTGGTTAAGGTCCTTGCCTTGCATGTCCAGATCCCATATGGGCGCCAGTTCTAATCCCTGCAGCTCCACTTCCCATCCAGCTCCCTGCCTGTGACCCAGGAAAGCAGTCGAGGACAGCTCAAAGCTTTGGGACCCTGCACCCACGAGGGAGATCTGGAAGAGGCTCCTGGCTTTGGACTGGCATAGCATCAGCCGTTGCGCTCACTTGGGGAATGAATCATCGGATGGAAGATCTTCCTCTCTGTGTCTCCTCCTCTCTGTATATCCGCCTTTCCAATAAAAAAATATAAAATAAATCTTAAATAATAATAATAATAAAAATCTAGACTGTAGATGCAGAGCTTGCATAATCACACGCAAGGATCTTGGATCTGGGATTCCCAAGACCCTTGGGCCCTCAGCGGCTCTGTCAGCTCACCAGGCGTGAGTAGCTTCCACAGAGGCCTTTTTTTTTTTTTTTAAGATTTATTTTATTTTTACTGGCTTCAGATTGGCTCAGCTCCAGCCGTTGCGGCCACTTGGGGACTGAACCCTTGGACGGAACATCTTCCTCTCTGTCTCTCCTCCTCTCTGTATATCCGCCTTTCCAGTAAAAATTAGAAAAACAAAACAAAAAAACAGGAAACTTAGGAGGGTGCTACCAAAAGTTCACGGAAAAAGAGAAATCTATTTTAGTCCAAAAATATTGAAATTCATGCCTACGTTTTTTTTTTAAGCTGTATTTATTTATTTGCAAATGTATGGGGGATTCCAAGCTTCGGAGCATCTTCTGCTGCTTTCCCAGCACATCAGCAGGGAGCTGGATAGAAGTGGGTTAAACTGCCACAGCATCAGCTTCTCAAGCTGAAGATGTCACTGCATTCTCACCAGAACTGCTGAAATCAAAGGAAGGACCAAGTGTGGGCAAGGATGTGGCCCTCCCAAAATGCCGATTTGCGGCAGATGCACATGTAAATACCATAACCACTTGGGGACACTCTTGCAGAGCTGTATGGACAAGACAGAAGTTCTGTGAATAATCCAAAGGAGCATTATTTTAATAACCCAAGCCTTGAAACAACATAAGCCAGCAAATGACCAAACGGGAGTCGTCGTGTGTTCATTTAATGGAATAACAGTTACAAGGAATGCACTCGGAAACAAACTAATCTCAACAACCTTACATGGAGGTAAAGTAGCCACCCAGCAGATACTGTGAAGGTCACCGACAGGTAAAGGCGACCTCAGCTTTGTGGGGTTACCTGGGGGGCACAAAAAAGACAACAGTGAGGGCCGGTGGGGCTTCTGTCAGGCAAAGGACCCCATTTGAGAGTCTGAAGAGGGCAAGCCAGCCCATCGGACGCAGCATGGTCACTGCTGAGCTGGTGCGTCACTATTCTGCTTTGTAAGGACAGTTCTAGAATTTGGAGATAAAATCACGTCAGTTCCCGGAATGGGGCGGGCCTGAGCACGTCGCAGAGATGGCCTGGGATGAGTCCCGTTGGGACCGATCCGCGAGGTCACCCCTCGTGAAATGCCCCCGAAAGGAGTGAGGGGCTTTTCAGACAGTCTCAAGCAGTCACTGTACCCCTCGACCACCTCCATAGAACAAGGATGGTGAAAGCATGCCCTACGTTCCATGGGACATGCGAGGGCGGCGGGAGAAGAGGCGCTTCCTGATAGCTCGGGTTACCACGGCAGTGACCGTGGCCACCACAAGCGGGTGGCTTCCCGCGTTCCCTCCTCCCCCCGGCATTGGTCTAGTCCGCTCCTCCCGCCTCTCCCCAGGCTGCCTCCCACCCAGCGCCGCATCACTACCCCCGCTCCAAGAGCCTCAATGGTTCAGCCCGGTTTCCCCAGGGGAAACCCCGAGGGGCGGAGCGCGCAGCTGCGTGGCGCAGCGTGCGCTTTCCTCAGATCACGTGGTCGCTCCGCGAGGCAGGGGTGGGCCGGGAGCTAGTCCCTGGTTCCGATTGGCCGGGGCCAGGATCAACATCCGGCGGGGCGGGGCGGCGCCGGAAGTGGGCGCGGAAGGCGGCGGCTGAGGCGGTCGGGGAGGTTCCGGCGTCGAGAGTCGGTTCCTTCAGGTGCCATGGGCCGGGCTGAGACACCCTGAAGGGGACGCTAGGCTGGACTATGGCCGGCGCACGAGCCGCCGCCGCCGCGTCGGCGGGCTCCTCGGCGTCCTCCAGCACCGGGGCGCCCCAGGAGCCGGGACTCGTGGAGTTGCTGGAGGAGTTCTCCCGGACTCAGTACCGAGCCAAGGACGGCGGCGGCACGAGCGGCTCCAAAGTGAGCTGGGGTGGTGGGTCCGCGGTCCGCGCGAGGCTTGACGTTCAGTGGGGTCTGCACGGGGCTGAAGGGAGAGCAGCATGTGTGTGCAGGGGTGTGGGGGGCGCGGGAGGAGGTCCCGCTGGACAAGGCTGTCAGAACGGGCCGAGTTCGTTCGTCCAGCTCAGGGGTCTGCGCGGGGTGGCTGGAGGCAGGGACCGGCGTGGGCCGAGCAGCCATACCCTGGTAAGGCCGTGCCTTTGCGTCCCCCCAAAGAGCAGGAGGACTCGGGGTCTCCCTGAGAGCCGGGCTCAGTTCCTCCGCCGGCTTCCCTGCAGTTTTCTTATCTGGCCCGCAGCCCACGGGAGCCCCAGCCGCGGTGTGGGGTGTCTGTCTCGCGGGGTGGCTCTGGCAGCTTCAAGGATCGGGGTTCCGGGAGGTACCTGTGTTGGGGCACACTGTGCAGGACCCCACGGTTTCCAGAGGACCACCAGGGCTCCTGTTAAAAGTGAGGTTGCCCAGTCCCTCGCGGTGCTTTCTGCAGGACTTGTTGATGGGGGCACGTGCTGCGAAACCCGAGGATCCCTGTTCGAAGCCTGTGGTTTCCTTTTTCCCTCTCAGGTAGTCTTTCCAGGGGCTGCACTTGCAGCCTGGGTGGGGCATGCGCTTGCAGTCTCCAGGGCCACAGAAAGCCCAGGATGGCAATTGGTCTGGCCTGGCCAAGGCCACGAAGGGACCCAAAACCCAGTCAGTTTTTATGCTGATAAAAACTGAGAGATGTTTTAAATACTCAGCTGGCCTTTGGTGGAAGCCAGTTCCTTAGCCTGCTGTACAAAACCTGGTTTTCCTGAACCGCCTTGGTTCTTGCACTTCTCTGGAGAGGGTTGAGTTTGAGCTGTGTAGCCGTTTGGAGCCTGTCACACTCTGGCATTGGTGCTGCACGGTTGGCACCCCTTTTCTTGTAAGCCACTTCAGGGTGAGCCGTTCCTTGCATTCCACAGACACATGGTGTCCATGGAGCCAGTGCTCCCTGTGGACACACTGAGGACTTCCCGATCACTGGTGGGTGACTGGGGGACAGGGAGGAGGATGGTGGGAAGCCTGCTGCTGTCATACTGGGCAAGGTCCTGCCCTTGGTTTTCTGAAACAAGATTTATTTTATTTGAAAAGTGGAGTTCTGGAGAGAGATGGAAATGATTTGTCCACTAGCTCACTCCCCAAAGGCCACAGCAGCCAGGGCAGGGCAGGCCAAAGCCAAGGCCTAGACTCTGTGAGGGTCTCCCCAGGGTGGCAGGAGCAGAGCACTTAGGCTGTCTTGTGCCTTCTCGGGCACATTGAAAGGGCGCTGGCATGGAAATGAAGCAGGTGGGATGCTCGTGTCGCAGGTGGCAGCCCACCGTGCCACGGCTCTGAACCCTGTAGCTCTGTGGTTGAACAGGTTGTGCATTGTTCTGCCAGCAGCGGGTGACATGGGTTAAAGAGCCGTACTTAGTGCCTGGATCCCAACACCATCTAAGAGCCCTTGCTTGCTGTGCCGCGGTTCTCAGTTTATCTCTGTGGCGCAGGTGGAGCGCATCGAGAAGAGATGTCTGGAGCTGTTTGGCCGGGACTACTGTTTCAGCGTGATTCCCAACGTGAATGGGGACATCTGTGGCCACTACCCCCGGCACATCGTGTTCCTCGAGTATGAGAGCTCCGAAAAGGAGAAAGACACGTGAGCATCCTGGGACTGCTGGCCACCAGGCTTGAACACCCGGGAATCTCCGTCTGTTTTAGGGCCAGCTCACTTTTCCCATCTTTACCTCAGGGCTTGGTTAGCCAGATTGGCACATGGTAGGAGTTCCGGCCCTGCTTATCTCTTCACTCCCTTTCTCAAGCTTGTTGTCCTAAAACAATTGACTTGGTGCCTGCAAATTCTCTTGCCTGGGAGGTATGCTGAGTGAAGACAGACGAGGGAATGTCCCCGCTGCCTGGCTGAGGTGCTGGCTGCTCCTTGTTGGCTGCATCACCAGCTCTGGGCCAGCAAGGAAGCCTTTTTGTCTTTAGTTGTTGTTTTCAATTTTCTGTTCTCCACTCCATGCTAATTACCCTTTACTGCCAGGACAGTTAACATTCTAGATAAGTGACCCATGTAGCCACTGAGAGAAGGGGCTAATCCAGGCCTGGCATGTTGTAGGAATTGGAAATAAGAGTCCCCGTTAACTAAGTGCTGTCTGGTATAAGGGTCGTGGCAGGGTTGACAGCAGGCCCCAGGTGCAGGTTGGGGCTTGTGCTGGCAGTGGCCATGGCAGCGGTTTGCCTCTGATAGCCAGGCACGGTGCTGGGGCTCCAGGAAGTGCTCTCTGTTGATATCAGAGCTAGCTTCATGAGTCTCCCTGCCCACTACTGAGAGTTCCCAGGAGCTGGTGTGAGCCACCAGAGGCACCCTGGCCTCATGCGGGTAACGCTGCGAGGAGAGCAGGACTCTCCACATCCCCAGAAGCTCACCAACAGGGCAGACTCTGGCTGGGGCTGCAGCGTCACAGGTGCCCAGGCGCACTTTACGGTCCTAGAAGTCCTACAGTAAGCATGCCGGGAGAGTGTTCAGTTCTACCTGGTGCGTGATTTAACAGACAAGGAGGGGTGCCCCTAAAATGTCCTTTGTGGTCAATTTATGTGACGTCTGGTCACTGGCCCTGGAGGTGTGAACTGTGGATGTGGCAGTCAGTTGTGGTGTGGTGCCAGTGTCCCCTGAGATCACGCCATGACCTCCTAGGTGGCTGATATATGCAACAGGCTAAGAGTTCAGGCCCATGAGGGGGATGGGAGTGGGGCAGATTCTGCATAACCTAGTGGGGAAGTTAATACAAGCTGAGCTGACCCCTCTGTGAGCAGGAGGTGTCGTGAGTATGCCCTCTCAGGAGGAAGCTGTGGGTAAGGACTGTTACACGTAGAACACACAAGGTGTATCCTAAATTCAGCTGGATGCTCCAAGAACACCAGGGTCCCCACGCCTCAAGGATTGGGCTTTGTGGGGCCAGTGTGGGGCACAGTGGGTAAAACCGCCACTTTGAATACACATGTGAATATTATATGACCATACAGTGAACCAGTTTGATGAATTTAAGCTGCTGCTTAAGACACCGGCTTAAGGACCCATATTGGGTTCCAGTTCAAGTCTTGGCAGCTCCATTTTCAATCCAGCCCCCTGCTAATGTGCTTGGGAAAGCCGTGGAGGCTGTCCCGAGTGCTTGGGCCCCTGCCACATCCATAGGTGACCTGGTTGGATTTCCTGGCTCCTCACTTCACCCTGGCCCTAGCTTTAGCTGTTGTGGCTATATGGGGAATGAACCAGTGGGTGAAGATCTCTTTCTCGATAATTCTCCTTTCAAATAAATATATCTTTAAAAAAAGTAAGAATCAGACTTTGTTACAAACCCCCTTTTTAGTAGTTCTTACCCCTTCCCCACTGCTTAAACCTTTAAGCTAGAGTTTCTTTGCTGGGTGTGTTTTTATTCTCACCCTGCCCCTCTGCTCCTCTTTCTCTCAGTGCAGGCGGCTGCTTTGCCCTCTCTGGCCTGCAGCTCAGCTCTGGTCCCAGGATGTTACTGAGTCAGCCACTTGAGGGTCTTTGTACAAGGCCAGCTTGGCAGATCTGAGGTGTGACCAGAGAGTGGCAAGCCACCCTTTACCATCCATCCATTGAGGAAGGTTTCTCCAGAGCAAAACACATGGGGTGCTGGTTTGTTTTAGTGTTAGGGAGAAGGAAGCCAATAGTTACTGATTGCCTTTGGCCCTTGTGAGGCTTTTACACACTAGCTTATTTGTGTCCTGCAGCCACCCAGCAAAGAAGGCGGTGTTGCTTCTGATTTAACAGACAAGGCAGTGAAAGCCCAAAGAAGTGACTTGCGTTGGCCCAAGATCGCTGAGGGAGTGAGTGGTCTGGACATGTACCTGCCAGTGCATTCTCTTTCTTTGTCGACTGGCTCTCCAGGCCAGGGCCTCTGAGCACATCTTTAACTTGCGAGGAGCTGATGGGTTTTGCTTTTACTTCTGGCAGTGCCTTGAGGTAGTGTTGAGATGACACTGAGTGGGCAGTACCTCTTTGTCATTAAAGGAAAAGGAACTTGCATAGGAAGAGATGGAATTTTTGCTTCTTTCTGTACCTGGCTTTGGTATTGCTGTGGCACCAGTTAGACTGAGTCAGAGTAGAACTGGTTTCTGGCAGTGCTATCCTCCTGTTCCCGTGTGTGCCCTGTTCAGTCCATTATTTGGAAATAGAAGCTTGGACAGGATGTGTTTATCAGCGGTGTTTATGGAGTTGTTGTCTTTTTTATTGGAAAGGCAGATCAGATTTTACAGAGAGAAGGAGGGACAAAGATCTTCTATCCACTCGGGGTGGATGCATTGGCCAGAGCTGAGCCAATCTGAAGCTAGGAGCTTCTTCCAGGTCTCTCATGCAGGTGCAGGATCCCAAGGCTTTGGGCCATCCTCCATTGCTTTCCCAGGCCATAAGCGGGGAGCTGGATGAGAAGTGGAGTAGTTGGGACATGAACTGGTACCCATTTGGAATTCTGGCACTTACAAGGTGAGGATATAGCCATTGAGCCATCGCCCTGGGTCCACTGTCTGTGTGTCTGTCTCTCTCTATTTTTAGATATATTCATTTGAAAGGCAGAGTTATGGGCCTGGCACAATAGCATAACAGCTCAAGTCCTCACCTAAAAGCACCAGGATCCCATATGGGTGCCAGTTCTAAACCCAGCAGCCCCGCTTCCCATCCAGCTCCCTGCTTGTGACCTGGGAAGGCAGTAGAGGATGGTCCAAAGCCTTCGGACAGAAGATCTTCCTTTCTGTCTCTCCTTCTCCCTGTGTATCTGACTTTCCAATAAAAATAAATAAATCTATTTAAAGAAAAAGAGTTACAAAGAGAGAGAGAGCAGGATACAGAGACAGAAAGAGAATCTTCTATCCACTACTTCATTCTCCAAATTAACACAATGGGCGGGGCTGGGTCAGACTATCTAAAGATCCAAGCCGAAAGCTTCTGCTCAGTCTCCCACTAGTATGTAGAGGCCCACCCAGTTACTTGATCCATCTTCCTCTGCTTTCCCAGGCACTGTAGCAGGGAGCTGTGTGGGAGGCGGAACAGCCGGGACTCAGACCACCACCCTTGTGGGTTGCTTGCACTGAAGGCCGCATCTTTAACGGGTGCGTCACAGCAGCAGCCCGAGTTCCTGTTTTCTCCTAGTCTCTAGGGATCAGCTGGACAGCGTATAGTGAAGTCTTAGCGCAGGGTTTAGTGTATAAGCAGCAGCATGAAAACCAGAGTGACAGACCTAGCGCTGGGTGTTTGGGGCAGTGTGTGAGTTGTTGCTTACTTGGGACAACCACATCCCTTCTCAGAGTACCTGGTTTTGGTTCCAGATACTCGGCTTCTTATGTAGCTTCTTACCTGTGCGTGGTCCGGGAGCAGGAGGTATTGACCCAGTGCTTGGCTCTCTGCTACCCGTGTTGGAGATCCAGATTGAGTTCCTGTGGCCTGGCTCTTGGTGGCCCAGACTTGAAAGCTGCAGGCACATCATGGATTGAGCCAGTGCAAGGAAGGGGTGGGTGTGTGTGTCTGCCTGTCTCTTTTTCTGTCTCTTTGCATTTCAGTTAGAATGAAAAGAAGTTTTAAAATGGTTAAAACACAACAGCAAAAATAAGTGGATGTAGTTCTCTACCTGTATGCACAGGTATCGCATATGGGCACCAGTTCATGTCCCAGCTGTTTTGCTTCTGGTTCTGCTTCCTGCATATGGCCTGGGAAAGCAACTGAAGTTGGTCAAAGTCTTTGGGACCCGGAACCCATGTTGAATACAGGAAGAGGCTTTTGGCTTGGTTCAGCTCCGACCATTGTGGCCATTTAGGGAGTGACCAGCAAATGGAAAGTCTCTGTCTCTCCTACTCTGTAAATCTCCCTTTCAAGTAAGAATAAATAAATTTTTAAAGAAAAAACAAAAGAAGTGAGCCCCTCTTACCTGTTCTTGGACCTTGGCCATCTCCGAGGGCTTCCTCTGCAGGATGAATTGAGAAGAGGTGGCATATGTCCCACCTTTGTCTGGCGTCAGGGAGCAGCACAATGACCCCCTCTGAGGAAGTTTTGGGGATGTAAGGGAGGCATGCTGTTGGTCTGCTAGAGTGTCCTTTCTGTAACAAAGCCACTTTGTGTTTTATTTCAAAATAATTTGGTGTATAAATGTTGCTCACATCCAGTCTGTTAATTCGGTTAAACATCAAGGCATCTCACCTCCTGGCAATGTGTTAGCCCAAATTTATTAATTCTTAAATCTACATTGATGTGTTCAGATGTAGCATGTACTATACACAGCTCAGTGCTCAGCACTGCAATGAAAGTATCCTAAGGACAAGAGGTAATAAAAGTAAGAAGTAGAGAGAAAACATAGGCTGAGTTTGCTCCTTAGTGAGAGGAGTTGAAAGGATAAACCAATGAACAGCCCAAGCAGAAGAGGCGCATCTTTGCATTTGGGATGCCTGGAGTCCCCAGGCAGTGCATTGAGTGCAGAGAATTGGAGGAGGATGGGATCTGAGAAAATGGCATGGAGCTGGCTAGCGGAGGCCAGGCCCCAGCAGAATTTTGAAGTCTCTGCTTTTAATACCATCAGCCTCCAGACACAAGTAAATACAGCTCACTTCCTCCCCCTGAAACAGCATTTGGGTTCAGGCGTATATGGGGAGCCATGCACTAACACAGAGATCCTTAGAGAAGTTTGAAAATGTATCAGTTTGGGCCTGGTGGCATGGCCTAGCAGCTAAAGTCCTCGCCTTGAACGCGCTGGGATCCCATATGGTCACCGGTTCTAATCCTGGCAGCTCCATTTCCCATCCAGCTCCCTGCTTGTGGCCTGGGAAAGCAGTCGAGGACGACCCAAAGCCTTGGGACCCTGTACCCGTGTGGGATACCTGGAAGAAGTTCCTGGTTTCTGGCTTTGGATCGGCATAACATCGGCTGTTGCGCTCACTTGGGGAGTGTTTCATTGGACGAAAGATCTTCTTCTCTGTATATCTGACTCTCCAATAAATAAATAAATCTTAAAAAAAAATGTGTCAGTTCAACCCCCTGTAGCATGTGTCATGAAGGCTCATCCTAGGGCTTCAGTGGCTGCCACTGGGCCGGTCTGGATCCAGGGGCCAAGACTTCATCTACGTCAGCCGTATGGGTGCAGGGGCCCAGGCACTTGGATCATGTTCCGCTGCTTTCTCAGGCACATTAGTAGGGAGCTGGATCGGAAATAGCCCAGCTGGAACTTGAACTGGTGCCCATGTGGCCACAATGCTGGCTCATCTTTTCACATTGTTTCAAGTATTTTATTTTTAGTGCAGAGAGGGTACAGAGATAGATTTTTTTTTCACCCACTTGTTCACTCCTTAGAGCCCCTCGACAAATGGGACTGAGCCATGTCAGAGCTGGGAGCCCAACCCTCCATCCAGGTCTGCATGGGTAGCAGGAGCCAGGTACTTGAGCCATCACTGAGCTGCCTCCCGACGAATGCATTTGCAGGAAACTATCAGAAGTAGAGTAGCTGACACTCCGGCCAATTGTAAGTGTTGGTCTATGGAATGCAGGCATCCTAGTAGGAACTTAACCAGTGTGCCAGATGTCTGCCCAAAGCTAACCCTTCAGGAAGAAAGATGATTGTATTTCTACGCTGCATAGCTGGGAAACCTTCCCTGCCTCATGATTCTGTCTGCAACTTCTTTTTTTGTTTTTTGTTTTTTATTTTTGACAATCTTTACATGATTAGGGCACAAAGGTTCAAGGGCTACAGGTAAGTGGGTAAGACTATTATTTCCACTCTCTTTTTCTGTGTTTAGAGTAAGTGGGGAGATAAAGGGAGCAGTCCCACCCAGCCTCCCACCACCCCAGGTCCCAGATATGGGGCATACTCTGAGGGTCTTACTCCAGTGGCTTTGATAATTCAACAGTTATGAATTGCTGTCAGTCTCCCTTCCAAGCACAATGAAGTCGCCGCAGAATCCATTGATTGACATAGTCCCCCTTAGAGTCTCCGTTTGCCCAGATTTTCACTGATTGTACTGTCCACTGCTCCGTCTGAGCCTGAGGAAGCTCGGCTCTGGCATTTGCACTCCATGGCAGACTGTGGAACCTGCACTTCTCTTCATGGTTGGGTTTCTGAGTCCATGTCTGCAACTTCTTATGCTGTTGGAAGCTTTGACAGGCTCGTGGCAGGCCCTTACTTCGGGGTTGGTAAGGGAGTGTTTGAGTGTAGATGCTGATTTTAGGGAATAGTAACTTGTTCATTTCTAATCATGCTGGAAGAGTGCTCTCACTACACTTCCTCATTAACAGCTGTGTCCCAAGTGACTTCTCTCAACTCCCTTTGCCCGAAGGTACCCAGCCCCGTTGGTTATTTGGACTCTTTCGGGTGGTGGGCAGATGCTGTTGAGGTATAAGAAACTTACAGCCACATGGGAATGTGCGCTCCCATCTCATCCCACCCCTCAAAGATCACGAAAATGGCCCCATGATTTCTAGAGGTGTCCAGAACGTCAGACTGTACCCTGAGACTTAAAGCCTGGACATTTGAAGTGAGTTTGTGATGTTTGTTTTGGTTATGTACTGGGTCTTTAGCTTTTTTCTTTTCATCTAGTTTAGAAATTAAAATGACTTAAATTTTACTATGTAAAATTAGTATTTTTTTTCTTTTTCTGAAGAAATTCGCCAGTGACATAGAATATAAGAATAAAACCTCTGTGACATTTCACTCCAATAAGCAAACCTAACTTGGGGTCTGCATGAAGAACATATGGATGAAGTCCCCACTTGGGAACCAGCTGACTTGCCATTCTCACTCATGTATTAGGTTTGAGAGCACCGTGCAGGTGAGCAAGTTGCAAGACCTCATCAACCGCAGCAAGATGGCCAGATGCAGGGGACGGTTTGTCTGCCCGGTAATCCTGTTCAAGGGCAAGGTAAGGTCCACACCACAGCCTCATGCTCGAAGACCTTCACCTTTGCCCAGTGTAGGACTATTTTGTTCCCAGTATTTACCAGCCTGGGCAGTTGTTGGGTACCTGGTACTATAGAGAGCAGGCCAGAGAAAGTGACTGATTCTTTTTTCTTTTTCTTTTTTTTTTAAATTTAGTTAGTTTTATTGGAAAGTCAGATATGTGGAGAGGAGGAGAAACAGAGAAATTCCCCAAGTGGCTGCAACAGCCGGAAATGAGTGAGTCCAAAGCCAGGAGTCAGGAGCATCTTCCATGTCTCCCACACAGGTGCAGGGTCCCAAGGCTTTGGGCCATCCTCAACTGCTTTCCCAGGCCACAAGCACGGAGCTGGATGGGAAGTAGGGCTGCAGGATTAGAACCGGCGCCCGTATGGGATCCTGGCACATACAAGCCACTAGGCCACCACACCAGGCCCCAGACTGATTCTTTTATTTGAAAGGCAGAAATAGAGTACACAGAGGCCTTTGATTCATTGGTTCACTGCCGAAATGCCCAGCCTGAGCTGGGCAAGGCCAAATGCAGTAGCCCAGATCTTAAGCCAGGTCTACCATGTGGCATGCTTTCCAACCACTGGAGCCTTTACTATTGCTTCTTAGAGTGCACATTAACAGGAAGCTGTAGTTGCAAGCGAAAGTCAGATTGAAAGCTGGCTGCTTCGAGATCTGAGCACCATAAGCAACATCTCAGCTGAGATACCAGATGTCTGCACAGAAACAGACTGCATCCAATTGGAGAAGGACTGTGGGTGGCGAGTGTGTTCAGAGCGCAGCGGTCCCTCCTGTGTGGTCATTGGAACTGCCCAGGTTCAGAGCTTGGTTCTCTTAGACTTCTTGCCAGTGTGAGACTTGTCTGCTCTTCTAAGAAATAAGAATAGTGGATTGGGTGCGATAGCCTAGTGGCTAAATCCTCGCCTTGCATGTGCCAGGATCACATAGAGGCGCTGGTTCGTGTCCCAGCTGCTCCACTTCCCATCCAGCTCCCTGCTTGTGGCCTGGGAAAGCAATTAAGGATGACCCAAAGCCTTGGGACCCTGCACTCCTGTGGGAGACCAGGAAAAGGCTCCTGGCTCCTGGCTTCGGATTGGCTCAGCTCTGGCCATTGCAGCTACCTGGGGAATGAGTCAGCAGACAGAAGATCTTTCTCTGTAAATCTGCCTTTCCAATTAAAAAAAAAGAAATCTTTTTTAAAAAAATAACAATAGTAACACTGCCTGTATCAAAAGTTTGTGGAGTAGATTGAACTGGGCAAGTAAAATGTTGCTTGTTCATCTTTCAGTCATTGAGCAGGTGTTAAGTGAAAGTGTGTGGTGTGTCTGGCCCTGCTTCTCGCCTGAGATACCTCAGCAGGGAAGCAAACCAGACCCTGGTCACACGGGCTAACATTCCACTGGCAGTTACTTGGCCTTCCTGGTGTGGTTTCTTCTCACCACTTCCTGTTTTAGAAGCAAGAGATAATTCCAGTTTGTATACAAAGTGGTAAAGTATTTTTTCTGAGTTTACACAGCAGAAGAGCTGAAGTCAGAACCTTGCGACCTGCAGCAGCATCTAGGGTGTCAGAGGATCTTGCCAGGGAGAGTAGCATTGTAGACTGGCCAAGTGACCGCTGACCCGTCGAGAGCAGAGTGTGACTTCAGAGCAGTGGAGGACAAACAGGAGGCTGATTGACAGGAGAGTGTCCCAGACAGGTGATGCAATATGGCACTCTGCCGGAGCAGGGATATAAAGCAGGCAGATAGCATTCTGGGGGAAATTAGTCCAGGAGGATTTGAAGTACAGAGAGTTCGAAGGGGTGGAGTGAGCAAAGATGCTGGCCATTCGACATGCAGCGGATCCCCAAGTGTGCCATCTGCTGTCACCTGCTCAGGTCGACTGAACAGATCTCTCTTTGGAAAAGGCATGTATGGAAGTCAGTTAAACTGTTCTAATGGCTGTTTCCCAAAGTGTGTTCCACTCAGCAGCTGCCCATGGCAGTACGAGTGGGAATGTTCACTGTTTAACGGAATGAGAAGGCCTGCTCCCAGAGTGTCCAGACTCATAAAGGTTGTGGGCGTGTGCCCGCTTCCATCATCAAGGCTCTGGGAGGTCCAGTTCAGAGACCTGGTGAGGACATCACTGGATGTGGTTGGGGTGCCACACCAAGCTCTTGGAGTCTAGGGCTCCATCTCTAGGAGCGTGTCCAGATGGGCCTGTGTGGGAGGGAAGGGAGCAGGCCAGCAGATCACTGAGGGTGCTACACAGTTGCAGCGAGGGCTAAGTATGAGGTGGCTCTGGAGGGTCTCACTGTTTGTGGGAGCTTTATCCAGGTCCTGTCACTCCTCTTCACCACCTCCTCACCCTACGACTGTCTTTGCTGACCTGCACACAGTGCCTCGGTTCAGTGCTTCCCCGGGATCAAGAATACTGGGACATGTGCTGGGTCCTGGAAAGACAGGTAAAAAGACAGCCCTTGTGCCCTGCAGGTCTCCTGATGGGGAAGGCAAACCTGTGCACAGATGGGCAGAGCAGGGCTCCTAGTGAGTCAGCCCTGGTGCTCAAATGTGGGGCGCACAGCGGTCAGCGACTCCTGCAGCAGTGGCCATGTCACTGTCTCCCTGCTCCGGGGGCCTGTGACAGGCTGGGCAGGGAGAGGAGTGAACAGAACCAGTTTGCCTCCTTCACAGCTCAGCCCATCATGGCTGTTGGGGTCGAGCATCTGCAGGTTCAGTTCTAGTTGACAGAGTTTAAATTTTAAGGCAAAAGCAATGTGGAAGGATTATTAAAAATAGTTATATTTGAGGGGAGATCTGTGTTTACCTTAAATGCTAAATCTCTTGCTTCTAAAAATTTAGCAACCTGCTTGATAAAAGCTTTAAATACACTGAAGACAGTGAAAAAAAAGTAAAAACTAATTTTTAAAGTGATTGAAAGTTGCCAGTAGTTTGGACATGTTGCATAAAATAAATTATTAAAACATATTGAGAACTCCGTTTAAGCCTTGAAAGGTAAGATTGCCAGCCTGCCATTTTGCTATTTTAGACCATTAAGCGTGAGGCATTTCATCTTGTTTCTCTCCGAAGCAGTGGGAGCAAAGACCTGCCTTTTTCGCTGTTTGCCAGTGTGGTGGGGGCTCAGCTGGCCCTGCATGTCGGAGGCCCTCACTGCCTTCCTCCACTGTGAAGCTGAAAGGCTGAGTTATGAGTTGTGGTGGTGAGGCCCCCGGAGCAGGGGTGCAGGGTTTGCCTCTGCAGTGGGCCCCACTTCTGATTGTTCTTGGGTTTGGTACCTCCTTCAGGGTCTTGGCTACGTGGTCTTCATCTGACTGGGCCCATGCCTTCCTGCCTTGTTGCCTGGAAACACTGGGATGGTAGAATGGGTTGGGGAGGAGAGTTGGGGGCAAGAGTCTCAGGGTTCCACAGCCCTAGTGAGGATATGTGCTCAGAAAACTGAACAGAATGCCAAGGTGATTGCAGCGTGGTGCCCTGGTGAGAGAGCTGGAAAAGGATGGTGTGCAAAGCTACACACATATACTCACTCACTCTGTAGTTGCTCCCCCACGCTGTATACACACACACTCCAGCTTCCCCTCTCCTCCTCCCACACGAAGCAGTTCTCTGCACTGTAAGCTCCCAGCTTCAGAGGGACAGAAGTTTGGACCCTCTGTGACTACCCCTTATTGTGGGACCTGTTACTTCCCTTAATCTTCCTGCGCTTGTTTTTCTCATTGTTACCGATGCAACAGCAGTGTCTGCCACCTGCCACATCTTCCCCACAGGCTGTGGTGCTAATCCCCTGAGAAGATGGTGTGAGTGTTGCAGTGCCTTGCCCAGCACGTGCCCCACATCTTAGACACTCCTGGTGCCTCTCTTGGGCGGGAAACTTCCTGGTCAACATGGCGGCTGTGGTTGAGTTCTGGGCACCCTTCAGATTGACTGCTGGCAATGAGTGCGCCCAGAGTACTTCGGGACCTGTTGATTGGCCCAGAAGAATCTTGAGTCCCAGGTGTTCCATCGGCCGTACACGTGAGAGACCACGTGACCCTGAAATGCTGTTTCTCTCCCAGCACATCTGCAGGTCGGCCACGCTGGCTGGATGGGGGGAGCTGTATGGACGCTCTGGCTACAACTACTTTTTCTCAGGTGAATGTGGAATAGTGTCCTCTGACTAGGAGCAAGGACCCATGGGCAAGAAGAGTCAGGATAGCCTAGGTGACAGGTGCCAAAGAACTGAGTGGAGCCCAGGGGCGCCGGGCAAACAGGAATTCACCAGGGGGTGAAGTCCCTGGACTGACAGGACACAGTGCTAGAAGGAGGGGTGGGGGACTATGGTTGGTCCAGCCCACCCGTGACCAGGCAGGGAGGGGGGCAGCTCGCACCACAGGCTCCACAGGACCCACTGGCTTCTCCACAGGGGGTGCAGATGATGCGTGGGCTGATGCGGAGGACGTCACGGAGGAGGACTGTGCTCTCCGGTTAGTGCTGGGCCGTAGAGGGAAGGACATGGGTTGGGGCTCAGGTAAGGAACTGGCTCCTTGCCTCCTGTCTCACAGATCTGCCCCTGGGTTAGGGGTGTTGCCATCCTTCCCCACGTTGGCCACTGGATCCCCAAGTTTGTCTCCTCCTGACTGGTGACACATCAAGATGTAGAAGGGAAAGTTACTCCCAAGTTCTTGTTGCTGGAGCCAGGTCCAATGCTGGGTGGTGATGTGAAACCTGTCAGTTTCCTGCTGTCTATTACACTGCACCTTTGCTATTGAGGTACTGGGGAGGGCCACAATCCTAGTCACCCCACCTTCTGTGCTTGGCTGCATGCTGGGCAACCTTTGTGTCAGAATACTGAGCCCTGGCCGAAGGTGACGAAGATTTCTCCTGCTCCTCTCCTGATGTTTCAGCAAGCACTTGAGAAAAGCTCCAGGCCTAGCTTGTGTCCCATGCTGAGTCTGGCTGTTGTCATGTCTCTGGGTTGCCGTGAAATCAGCTCCAGATAATGGCTAGTGCTGACAGGGTGTCTCCCTGCGCCTGTGAGCTCTCATTGTGCAAACGTGTGGGGCTCTGCCCCAGGTCAGGTGGCTTCTGCCTCAGCCATGTCACCTGCTGCAGTGTACACTGTCCCCGGCAGAGGATGCCATTGCCTGGTGCTGCTGATTGTGTGTACATGTGTGTGTGAGATGCAAGACAGCTTCCCGCTCAGCACACCTGCAAGGGACGGTCACAGACAAAGCAATTCTAAAAGTCTGTCTCTACGAGTTCCTCCTGTGTGTCAGGCAAGTCCTGTGTCTCAAAATGATCATAAATAGGGGAAAGAAAGGGACTGGAGGGAGATGAACTGACTCACATACTCCATTAGCCACCTGCCTGCTGTTTTTTACAACTTGGAGATTATCTGGCTTCTTGATGTCAAGCAGGGTCTGAGAGCCTTTCCCTGTTTCTGGCTGCAGATTGCTGCTCTTTGAGATGTGTCCCAGAGAGTGGATAATCTCTTAGAAAGTCACCTTCCCTGGGTCCTCCTTAGGAACAGCCAGCCTTACCACCCTCTCCACTGTCTTAGATTTTGTAGGAGGGGTATGGGTTCCTGGCAGGGACACTTGTCCTGCGCTCTCCAGCACCAGTCCCCACAATGAACGTGCTATGTGACCATTCCACGCCCCCCACACTCTTAATTTCAGAAGTGGCGACATGCATCTGTTTGATAAGGTCAGAGGCTATGACATCAGGCTGCTTCGCTACCTGTCGGTCAAATACATCTGTGACCTGATGGTGGAGAACAAGAAGGTGAAGTTTGGCATGAAGTAAGTACAGAGAACCATTACACTGCAGGGTAGATGGGGTGTTCAGGCCTGCAGGACTGCTGAGGGTACACGGTGCCACTGCTGGCCCTGCACCTGATGCTGTGTGTGTCATCTAGCTGTGTCTTCACGCAATAACTCCCCATTTTTAAAATAATGTATATATTTTTTCCAAATATATATTTGCTTTTATTGGAAAGACAGATTTGTAGAGAGAAAGATATTCTATCTGCTGGTTCACTCCTCAAGTGGCCAAAATAATGAAGCTGAGTCGATCTTAAGCCAGGAACCAGGAGCTTCTTCCAGATCTCCTAGGCAGGTGCAAGGGCCCAAGGCTTTGTACTCAACTGTTTTTTTCCAGGCTACAGGCAGGGAGCTGGATGGGAAGTAGAGCAGTTGGGATACGATCTGGCAGCCATATGGGATCCAAGTGCATACAAGGCAAGGATTTAGCCATTGAGCCATCACTCACACAGGGCCTATGCAGTACCCCTTTTTACATCCAAGAAGCTGAGAGGGAAAAACATGAGGTCAGGTGGTGACAGGTACATTGGTGAGTGACCAGAACCCTGCTGCTCTTTCCTGTCGGACACCATTCTCCCCAGCTCCAAGTCCTTTGACCTCTCGAGGCTTCGGAGGGTAAACAGTGCATTCTCAGGTTTTGCTTTATTGACGACTGTTGGTGAAAATAATGTATATGGGATAGTCAGTCTTATAATGTGAAATCTTCCTTAAAAAGGCAGCCTTTGCTTAGTGGAATGAGATTATAGTTATTCCCAGTATTTTAACATCCTAAAAAATTTTCTTAGAATTTCGGACAGGGGTGAGTGCTTCACCTAGCAATTAAGTTACCACTTGAAGGGCCAGTGTTGTGGAGCGAAGAGAAAAGTCAAACCACACATGGGCACTGGTTCAACTCTGGCTGTTCTGCAACCCACCCAGCTCCCTGCAAATGGCGTCAGAGAGCGTAGCAGAGGAAAGGTCCGTGAACTCACCTGGGAGCTCATGAGAAGCTCCTGGCTTTTGTCTTGCCCTTCCATAGCCATTGCAGCCCTTTAGGGAGTGAACCAACGGTGGTGGATCGATCTCTCCCTCTCTAATTAGGTGTTTCAAACAAATGTAATAGTAAATCTTTAAAAGGTGCCACAGGCCTGGTGCAGTAGCCTAGGAGCTTAAGTCCTAGCCTTGCACATGCTGGGATCCCATATGGGCGCCAGTTCATATCCTGGCAGTCCCACTTCCCATCCAGCTTCCTACTTGTGACCTGGGAAAGCAGTCGAGGATGGCCCAAAGCCTTAGGACCCTGCACCTGCGTGCGAGACCTGGAAGAGGGTCTGGGCTCCTGGCTTTGGATTGGCTCAGCTCCAGCCATTGTGGTCACTCGGGGAGTGAATCATCAGGCAGCAGATGTTTCTCTCTGTCTCTCCTCCTCTCTGTATATCTGACTTTCCAATGAAAATCAGTAAGTCTTTAAAAAAGAAAAAAGTAAGTGCTTCTGGGAATACTCCATCCCAAGCCTGGCCTCAGTTACCATTCCAGCTCCATGCTAATGTGCACTGTTTTAGACAGCAAGTGGTGACTGAAAAGCATGGGTTTCTGACTCCCTAGTGGAGAGCACAGGCTGAGTTCCTGGTCCCCAGCTTCACTGTGGCCCAGTCCTAGCAGGTGGCAGCCCTGACTTTGTCTCTTTGTCTAAAATAGAGCAAATGAGTAGAGAAGAATCGAGCATAGTGACACTGCAGCCAGAGCTCATCCCCTGAAGATGTCTGGGTATTCCTGTATCCTTGCCTCACCTCACCTGCTACAACACTTCCCAGTGTCCCTCTCAGGTGCCGTCAGTTAACAGGTGGCACAGTGGCTATGCAGAGGGCAGTAGAGCGTAGCGTTTTCTGAGACGGTCCCTTTTTGAACTCTGGTATTCAGTCTTGTCTGCCTCTACCCTCCTGTGTCAGAGTAGTAACATTTGGTATGAATGTGGGGCTCAGGCGGAAGATGTTTCTGCAACTCCCGATTGCTTTGAGAGTGATTGCTCTCCCTGGAGAAATTAGAACAGCGAGTGCAGAAGTTAAGTTCTCATCTATTCAAAGCAAGCCGCACTGAAGGGACTCATTTGTAACTGAAGAATAGCTTTTAGCTGAAGGTTCTTGTTAAGGAGTGGCCTGGCTGGTGTGGGGGGGGGGGAAGGTGCTCTCATAACACACTGTGTCCCCCTCTTGCTTGCAGTGTGACCTCCTCTGAGAAGGTGGACAAGGCCCAGCGCTATGCCGACTTCACCCTCCTCTCCATCCCCTATCCAGGTAGGGAGCTGTATTCTCGTCTAGTGTGACAGACTTCCTTGGTGTGGTGCCCCAGGAACTTCCTGGGAGAAGCTTATGTCAGCCAGCACAGGACATTTGACTTGTAGACACAGTCACTCTTGCTTAGGGTTAGACAGTGTCCTAGAACGGGCTTTCCATTTATAACTCAGGAGGTGAGTGCTCCTTGTCCACTTATCTTTCCCAGCTTCCTGGTGTCTTGTGTGGCAGCTGGAACCTTGGCAGCATTAGCTGTGGGTTTTGCTGTGTGGGTTAGATCATGTGTGTCAAAGGTTCTGACATAGGAGTTCCTATGGAAATGTAAAGTGATATTATCAGTGCTCTGTGTTAGTAGCTGTGGCCTATGGGGACATGAGCCACTTTGTGCATGTCTTACAGAGATTAAATTCTTAGGGAAATCTCTCCAGTATATTTTGATACCAAAAAAACTTGGAGGTCCCTGCCATGGTGGGGTCTTCAGAAAGTTTGTGCAACATGCACTTGATGAGAAAACTCTCAATTACTTTGTTTTGTTGTGGCAGAAAAATGAAATTTTAATTCTGTTTCTTATGAACTTTTAAGATTCATTTAAGACAGAAAAAGGGATCTTTCATAGTTGGCTCACTACCTTAAATGGCCACATTAGCCAGAGCTGGGCCAGGCCAACGCTAGGACCTTCATCTGCATCCTTTATGAGGGGGTCGGAGTCACAAGCACTTGAGCCATCTTCCTCTGCCATCCTGACACACTGGCAGGGATTTGAACACAAGTGGAACAGTCAGGACATGAACCACTGCTTGCATGTGGTGTGCTGGCATCACAAGTGGCTGTCCAGTCTGCTGTGCCGCACACCAGACCCACTTCATGCATTTCTTTTAATTTAAAGATTCATTTATTTACTTGAAAGGTAGAGTTGCAGAGAGGGTGAGACATAGAGATCTTCCATCCACTAGTAATACACTCCTCACATGACCATGATAAACTGGGGCTGAACCAGGCCAGAGCCAGGAGCCAGGCGCTTTATCTGGACCTTCTGCATGGTGCAGGGGCCCAAGTACTTGGGCCATCTTTCACTACTTTCCAAGGCACGGTAACGGGACTACAGTGAGGCAGCTGGAACTTGGACCAGTGCCGCTATAGAATGCCAGTGCTACAGACCCTGGTTTTACCTATTGTACCACAACATTGGCCCCTTTGATGAACTTTTTGATGTGTAGTCATGGTTCTCATTTAAGGCAGTTAAGCATTCTGGCACAGCTGCCTGTTGAGCAAGAGAAGTCCCCAAGCCAGACATGACATCATCATGAGACTTTGTCACAGATAGCAGGGCCTTGCCCATATCCCTGAAGTGTCTGCTTTGCACCCCATTTCTTCAGTCTCAGAGCAGCAGAGCCAGTAGCCAGGACAGGCTAGTGACAGCCCAATGGCAATGCGTTGGGCAGCTGACATTTGGGAATAGAGCCTGGTGGTGCCTCTTTGGTGTAAATTTCAGCTCCAGGTATGGTAGAAGCTTTGGTACACTGCCACAGAGCTGTAGCCAGGACAGGTTAGTGACAGCCCCATGGCAGTGACAAGCTTGTCAAGTTGTAATGCAGCTGCTCTGTGGTGGGATCTGTCTGTGATTACAGCACAGGAAAGGTCTTTCTTTAATCAGCCCAACAGCAATTCAGTGCGTGGTGGTTGCGCAGCCACCAGGAAGGCTTGGGCGCAGGCCCAGTGCAGTCAGTGGAAAGGGGTAGAGGAAGGTGCCTGACATTTCTCCATTCTTCTGTAACTTTGTGGCACTTCTGCAGATTGTGTGTGTATTGGAACCAAGGACAAATGAACTAGAAGTCCAGAACACCAGGGCTGGGGTCATAGGAAAAGCACTTTATATTGGATTAAGTTTTTTTAATTTCTAGAAACAGAATTTCACTGCCCATGCCAAACTGTGAAAGGCCCTTGGATGCCATTGAAGGCTTTTAGTTGGACCTTACAGTGGCCTCGAGGCTCAGGCCTGGTGTGCCCTGAGAGGGGTTTTGGTGTTCCTCTGCAGCTTGCGTTTAGACCTGGCCTTCATCTCTAAGGGCACCAAGCCAGATGGGGCCAAAATGCCACCATGCACGTCTAATTGGTTTCCTCCTGGAGTGGGTACTTGACAGCCACTCACTCCCTGTCTTCCCGCCTGCCGGGAGTTGAGAAGCTTGTTCAGGTAATGAACGTTGGGCAGCGCCCTGGGCACAAGTCTATTTTAGCTGCATCCGCTTCTCACCATGCTACGTCAAGAGGCTGGGCCAAACTCAGCCTGCAACCTACGGTGCTGACTGGCTCAGCTGGCATTTGGGAATAGCGAGCACTTCACCAGGGCCCTGAGAGGTAATTGGTATCTCTTCTAGACCTGTGTCTGCTGTTTCTCATCCTCCTTTTGCCCCGGGAGAGGCTGTTTCCTGGCTTCACAGGGCTGCAGTGCCGCAGTGTGCGTGTGGACAGCAAGCAGGATCTGGAATGCGTGGAGTATCTGTAGGCCCCCCTCAGCAGGCCTCCGGAGCGTTCCTGTGTTCTGTGGGTGGCCTCTGACAGGAGCTTGCTCCTCTGAGGTCTCTGGGCACCTCCATAGAATTAGGATGAGAGGGTGGGAGGTAGGGTGGGGCTTTCCCCTTTGTTACTCCCCTAACACTAGATACATGGCAAAATGAAAAAAAAAAAAAAAAAAGAATTAGGATGAGAGTGTGTTGCTCTTGGTACCTCACCTGTCTTCCATGTGGAGAGTCACGTGGCCCCTGAGGTCTGTGGGCTCTGGCTTCTGAGGGACTGAGCCTGAAAACGGCAGGCCGCTGCTCTCTGACTAGTCCTGTCCCCTGTCATCCCTGTGCTGCAGTTGGCTTCAGCAGAGACAAGCTGTGGCCTGGTGGCGGATGGGCAGGACGGTGCCAGTGCACATGCCCCGGGGCTGTGCCAGGGTTCTCCACATGTTGCTTTACTCTTCAACAGCCATTTTGCAAATAGGAAATCGAGTGTTAGGGTAGTTACCTAGCTTGTTTACAGCTAGGAGTGAGTGAAAAGCTGAGATTGAAGCTGGGAAGGGTGCCAAAGCTCTGTGCTCTCCATGGCTCTTCTCCTTTCTCCTGAGTTCTCCCCCATCTGGAGAGTGAACCCACAAATGAAACCTCTCTCCCTCTAACTTTCAAGTAAAGTGAATAAGTATTTTTTTTAAAGAAAAAATAGCAGTGTTGCTTACCTCTTTCAGTCAGCTTGAAACCTTGTTAGATGGGAACTTGAAAGATGTTTCAGGTGCTCAGAGCACGTGGGGCTGACGTCGGGCAACATGAAGCTGTTTGCCACATGTGCAGTGCTGCAGGGCCTGGTGGGACAGGGAGCTACAGTGAGGGCAAGTGACCAATGACCTGTGCGCACACACAGGACGGGCGAGAGCAGGTGGTACCATGTGGGCAGGTCATAGGCTCAACTTAGTCCTTGGTCCTTGAGCCTCCCAGTCCTCAACCTTGTCAGCCTTGGACCCTGGGAACCTCCAGCAAGGAGAAGTGTGTGAGCACGAAGCCATCCTCCTCCAGCACTCGGAGCTGCCTTAGCCAGAGCTGCTTCGGGAGACTGGCTGGGACTGTGTGTCTAATGATGCTTTTTTTTCCAGGCTGTGAGTTCTTCAAGGAATACAAGGATCGGGATTACACGGCGGAAGGGCTGATATTTAACTGGAAGCAGGTAGGAGCCCTGTGGTGAAGCAGCCTTTCTGCAACTTGCCTGTCCCATAGGCATGAAGCTCTCTCCAGCTGTCTCACAGATGTCTTTGTTTCCCAGGACTACGTTGATGCCCCGTTGAGCATCCCCAACTTCCTGACCCACTCTCTGAGCATTGACTGGAGCCAGTATCAGGTGAGGGAGAGACACAGGGGCCCCTTGGCTCCTGCACCACAGGGTCCTTAGGTACAAGTTGTACCGATGGACCTCTGACAGCTCAGGAGAGGAAGAGTTGCCCACCATGCCGGTGGCTCTAGCTTGTCCTTGGTCCCCAGTCAGAACTCTCTGAACGTGGCTCCTTCAAAGACTTGCCACTTCCAAGGGTTCTGTCTCCAGAGGATCTCGTCAGGTCTGTGCTCTGGATCGGGGCTCCAGTGATGTTTTTCCGTTTTCTGTGTATTCTGGAGAGGAATGCAGAGCTGCCTGGCCTTGTTTGTTGATGGCAGCTGTCTGATGGTTTCCATTGACCTGTCCTGGCGCCTGTCTTTCCAGCAGATGCTGTGTCCCACCCTCTGTAGCTCGAACAGGTTCATGGCTTCTACCAGCCTCACTGCCACCTGCTTCAGATGGCACGAGTGGCAGTGAGCGTTATGGCAAAGCAAGTTAAGCTGCTGCTTGGAGTGCCTGCATCTTATGTGAAATGCTGTCTGTGTCCTGGCAACTGTGCTTCCAGTCTAGCATCCTCTGTGATACAGCTCTATAGTGTGTGTATCAGCAGAGAGAAGATACTTCCCAACCCCTTTGTCTTCCTTCCAAATAGATTAAGGGGTGTGTGTGTGTGTGTGTGTGTGTGCGCGCGCATGTATTTAAAGGAAAAACAAAAAATCAAAAAACAAGGTGGCAGGTAGCCTTGTAATTCCTGCTCCCTTTCCCTTTATCTGCTGCCTGCTCCCAGTCTGCTCGCAGCTCTCTTGTCTGGCTGACACACTGCCCTTCAGGATTTGGCTCTGTCCTAGGAAGATTTCCCTCATCTACCTCCTCTTCCCCATCTCTGGCAGGTTGGATGCCTGCATCTCTATTCCCATTAACCCCTGGGCATGTTTTTCATGGAATTTCCCACAACACTGTGGGCACTGGTTGAGAGGTTACTGCTCTGAGCCCCAGGAGAAAGAGGACCCACAGTTTGTGCCTTGCTAATTCCAGGGCAGCCTGGGGCCTAGACCCAGTGGTCACCAGCAAGCACCCTGCTTGCTGTTGGCTGTCTGTGCACCAGGACTCCTTTGTAATGTACCATTTGTGATGTGTTCTGCTGGCTTGTTCCTCTCATGCCATCAGCAGCAGTCCAGGTCTGCAGCATGGGTGGCAGGAACCCAATTCTCTGCTGTCACTGCTCTCCCAGGGTTTACCTTAGTAGGAAATAGGAATCAGGATTCACAGGCACTCTGTGATGATGGGTCTAAACTGGCAACATCTAAGCTGCTGGCCTCAGTCTTCCTCCTCCACAGGGTTTGTACCGAGATCTCAGAGTCTCTCGCATGCGCTGCTCTAGTCCCAGCTGGCTCTGTTTGCTCCTCACACAAGCAGACAGGTGCAGATAAATTACTGCTGAATAAGATGTGACTAGTGGGGTTGTACTTTGGCTTGCCAAGGATACGTACCCTTTTAGGAAAGGATCTTTTGCATTGGGGCAGCTGTGCCTGCTGGGGCTGGAACCCCAAGGCTTGAAAGCCTTAAATAATGGCCTCAGCACTCCCATTGTAGGCTTGCCAGTGCCTGTGTCAGTTATGGCCAGACCCACATTTGGTCATTGGAATGTGGTCGCTAAACAGATTGTAATGACACTCTGGTAGCCCCCTGGGAGTAGACACTGCTGGTGGCCAGTGAGAGGACAGTGTTGCAGCCTCTGCTGTGAGGCCTCCACAGCCAGCCACATCCTGCTGCTTAGCGCTGGGTTCTGGAACCTCTCCCATTTGCTCCCAGCATTGCCTGGGGAGGTCCTTCTGGCCTCCACCTCTTGTGAATCGCCTGATCCAGGCCCTGTCATCCCAGTGTCTCTTGCCTGAGCATGCGGTCAGCTCCAGGCACTCATGCAATGGGGAGTAAGAACCTCAGAACAAGTGGAGCCCACCAGCTCTTGCTGTTCCCTTCCTCCTCAGCCCCACTGCCCTTCAACTCCTGAGTAAGCATCTCCAGGTTCACACTTGCATCTCCTAGTTCTCCCCTTCGACTCCCACGTCAGCACCTTAGAGAGACCCTCTCTGATGGCCCCTCAGCCCCTCAGCTCTGTGGAATCCCAAGATGGTGCAGTTTCCTAGAGACCTTCTTTTAGTCTCACACCAGTGTGACCCTCTGAGGCTGAGCCCTTGGCAGCAGTGTGCTGTGATGGCTACTGAAGCACAGCCGACAGGCATGTAGTCCACCTGTGCATCTTGCTGTATTTAGTCAGGGGTTGAGTTTTGTGCAGGTCTGCTCCCACAGGCCACTGCGGGGGCTGTTTCGGTTCCCTCTGACACTGAAGAAGGTTCTGCCAGCGCCTCCTGATTCCCATATGCTGGACTTTTGAGACACCGAGATGCCAGAATGGCCTCATGGGCTTGCCTTGGTAGCAGATTGTAAGTGGTGGCTGCAGATGGCCCCACAGGGCAGGTAGTCATGCTGTGGGGGAGAAAGACTTTGCAGCCAAGAGGAAAAGTGCTCTCTTTGTTCAAGTGTAAACCAGGGTCACCCTGGCACATTGCCCAGGTGCCTCTCCTAGTCACTGTCCTCTCAGATGTGTGGCTCCTACCTGGTGTAGCAGGATTGGGAGGCCCATCTCTCGGCTCAGCCATGTGACGGTGGGCCTCGGCCAGCTCATTCCGTCCCCCTGCGTGGCTCAGCCCCAGCACTGGGATCTGTTGTCTTTGCAGGTACTCAGGTCTGCTTCAGGGAGCCACTGTAGTTGTTGACTTGTGGCACGCCAGGCTGTGGGTGTCTCCCCTCCACCCCCCTTCCCGGTGCTTGCTGAGCTTTGTGTTGTGTGGCTCCTGCCTCGCTCCTAGGAGAATCCCAACTTGGAGGAAAGGCGATGGTCGTGGCAGGTGGAACACGTTGAGCCAGATGAGCTGAGAGACCCTGATGCTGCTGCTGCTAATGACTTCATCAGTGCAGCACTGCCGTGGTGTCTCTGGGGCGAAGCAAAGTGGGTCAGAACTCTCCAGGGGCCAGGGGTGGGTCAGTGAAATGAGCCTGTTCTTGGTTCCTGGGAAAACCACTGCAATTACAGGTGCCGTGTTCCCCTCCTCCCAGGAAGTGCCCCAGCCCCAGAACACCGAAGGGGCTGTCCCCAGCCAGGGAAGTTGGCAAAGAGAACTGGGTCAGGCCTAGCCGTGGATTCCAGGCTTCTCAGATCGACTGCGTTGGAAGGAGCTCTGATCCCTGTGTGGCTTTGGCTCATGTTTCATCTCCCACCACGTGGGCTTCCTATTCCAAAAGATTTTGTCTGCGTAACAGGCTGTATTTATTATTCATCAAAGGGCTGTGGGTAGTGGTACAGAGAGGGCTGCTGCTGCTGCCCAATTTCGTGATGGGGTAGATGGAAGAATGACTGTTCCCCTTTGGCCACACTAGCCACAGGCTTTTGGCTCTCTGCTTACCCGGGCCACGGCTCAGAACATGCTGGGGGGCAAGACTGTGGGCCGTCTGCACTGCTCCCTTCTGGCTGAATCACTGAGGACCTCAGGTGAGCTTTAGTGAGCTCTTGGGGCTGGGAGATGAATGAATCAGGATGAGACTCAGAATCTGGTCCCTGACCCAAGATCTCTCCTTGCAGCCACAGATCAGTGCATAGCATTTTGTTTTTATATCACCTTGATATCAGATCTGAGTTAATACCTATTCCTAGGCCTCCTATCTGTCTGTCTTCCCCAACAGAGCTGGGATTTGGTGCAACAGACACAAAACTACCTGAGACTGCTGCTGTCCATAGTTAGCAGGGATGGTGAGTCTGCGTCTTTCTGGCTCTCACACTGCGCTGGCTCCGGCTGTCCCCACCTCATGACGTCCCCGTGTGTTGTAGTAGAATCATATAGCAGTGGCTTGCTCTATGAGACAGGGCTGGAGACTTGCTGGAATCCTGCAGGCTGGGGGGTCTGCTTTCTGTGAAGTTTCTGTCAGCAAGAGAGCAATAGTGATCATGTCACGCACAGGTGCTATACTGGTCCCACTGGTCTTTAAGCTGTGCCTCCCAGCCTTCAGTTCTAGTCAGGATGAGCTCCCCCCACCGAGAGTCAGTCCCAGCTGGGGTGGCGGGGGAGGGGGTTACACACAAGCCTGTGAGGTCTCTTGGCCTATGTCCTGGAGCCCACTCAGTTTCTTCTGGGGTGAGCTAAAACCGCCAACGTTTCAGCACCAGTTAGGACCTGTGGGGGCCTTCCTAACCAACAAGGCCGAGAGCATCCCGAGAGCTGTCAGTGTCCTGGTGGCAACCATTCCTGTGCAGCTCCTGTAAAAGCCAGAAGTCACATGGGTCCATTGATAGCGAGCACCTGCCCGTGACCTCACAGTCGGGGAGGAATCATGCCTGCCCCCAGAGCTGATAGCACTGCTCCTTACAGGGGTCCTGAACTGTCAGAGTGGAGCATTCCAAGTCCCAAGTGTAGGAACTGCCCATTCTGAGGGGATGCTGGCCAGAGACACTAAAGGTCTCAAGGTTTCTCTTCTCCCAAGGTGCTGGCAGCCTTCCCCTGTGCAGTACTGGGCAGGGCTGGGTCATAGGGGCTGGACTGCTGACCCCAGAAAATGAGGAAGGCCACAGGCAAGATGTCTGCCTGCCACACCCCCCTCTGGGGCAAGGCTGAGGAGACCCATGGGGAGTGCAAGGAAGAGGGGTCTGGGGGTAGTGCTTCGCCCCTCACTGGCCTTGTCTGGTTTCCTTCTGGGCGTCCTGCACACTGGCAAGCAGATGACAGCGGGCTGCTGGTGCACTGTATCTCCGGCTGGGACCGCACCCCACTTTTCATCTCCCTCTTGCGCCTCTCTCTGTGGGCTGTGAGTATGGCTGGGCTGGGCCCTGCGGGAGGGAGCCCTTGGGCTGCTGCCAAGCTCCACCCCAAAGCCAAGTGTTAGGACAGAACAGAAAAAGTCTTGGCATGACAAAGCAGTGGTTCACCTCGTTCTCAGGGTGCTGATTGGCCTGTGCAGCTGTGAAACGTGTGGTGGAGGTTCTGTTCTGGGAGGCTGAAGGGACCTGGTCAGGGAGACTTACTTTGGTATCCCACCCATCTGTGGTCTATTCCAGGACGGGCTCATCCATACGTCCCTGAAGCCTGCTGAGATCCTCTACCTCACTGTGGCCTACGACTGGTTCCTCTTTGGGTGAGCCTGCAGGATGTCCAGGCTTGGGGTGTGAATGATGTGGCTCTTGGGGTGGGTGTCAGAAGTGAGGACAGTCCCGCACCCTGGAAAGGACTGCATGTGTGGCCTGAGTCCCCTGCAGCCATCTGGACTCAGCGCTGCTGCCTTTGACCCCACCCTCCTCTTTGCAGGCACATGTTGGTAGATCGGCTCAGCAAGGGGGAGGAGGTGAGTCCTGCACATGGCTGATGTGAGGGGTAAGGGTCCCCATTGTCTGGGGACCTTGCCTGTAGGTCCTGTGTGGGACAGCGTGCTTGCCCACGTGGCCATGCTGGCGTGTCCTAGACTGCCTGCACCCTTCACGTGTCCTTCCCCCTCGCCTTTCTGCTTTTGGGCCTCCCTGTTTCCTGCACTCAGCTCTGGAGGTGGTTTGCAAGTCATCCTGGTATCCCCTATACTAACAGCGCAGATGCTGGTCCCCACCCCTAGCCCTTCAGCCCTGGGTGCTCCTGGCGTCCAGGCTGCCACCAGGCCCTGCCCACTTGGATGCTTCTGGTGGCCTTTTCCACGCTGCCTACTTTTGACCTTGAGTCTCTTGACTGCTTCCTCTCTCATTCAGCTAGGGCCCAGGTTCTCACTCTCTTGCACACCCCGCCCCCGCCCATTTTCCCAAAGCATCTTTCTCCCCCGCTTGGTGCCTTATCTTGCACCACCTTCTTTGTCCCCCTCTTCCCAATCCCCTCTTCTGAACACTTATCGCATCTACCAGGGTGCCTAAGCCTGCTCCACAGAGGCCTCCGCACACTGTTGCCAACGCCTTGAAATCTCTGCTAAAGCCTCTTTGTAGTCTCTCATTTGGGGACATTTTCAGGACATTCTGCCCTTTATGCTTCTCCCTCCTCCCCCACCCTAGCAGGCAGAGTCTGCCTTCAGAGTTGCAGGGTGATCATGGGGCCAAGTTCAACCCCCTGAGCTCCCCACATAAGTGAGATGGAGGGTCTCAGCTGCAGGGCTGGTTTTCCTCTCATCCTCCCTGCGCCACTAATGCTTTGAAGAGAAACCAAAGAGGCCAGGCCCATTGAACAACTCTGACCCCTCCCCCGCCTTTGAGGTTGGCAGAACACATTAGCATATTAGAGACTGAAATGAACCGGCTGTGGTGGGAACACCTGTGTAATTTTATGTAACAATGTTTCCATGCCAGCCTGTCCTGGGCAACCCCTATTTTCTGGAGAAGCTTTAGGGGGCCTGGGGACACACCATCTGGGCCTTTCTCTTAGATTATGGCTGCCTGGACCATGCCTTTAGGGACCCTGGGGAGGCTCCTGGGACCTGACACAGGGCTGTCAGGGAGAGGGTGCCTCTTACAGTGGATGTGGGACCCAACTCAGGCTCAGCCACTGCGCCCCCAGCTCCCATGCAAGACCTGCTCTCCTGCCACCCTGCTTGTAGGTGCCCCTTTTCCTTTCGGTGTGCTCCTGCTGCAGGTGCTAATCTCCCTGTCCTTCCCTGCTAGCCTCTCTCCCTGGGGCTCCTAGAGGAATGTGAGAATGTGGGCAGCACTAAAGAGACTTGGCAAGGCTGCTGGCCACTCTGCTGCATTTCCTAGAGAGCAACAAGGCCCAGTGCACTGCCCAGGCCTTGCTCAACCCCCTCTGCTACCCACGGGCTTTGTAGAGCAGACTGTGGCTGGACCGTCTGCCCCTTTCCCCTGGAGAGCTGTCTGTTCACTAGGACCCACATCTTGGTCTCTTCCTCAGATTTTCTTCTTCTGCTTCAATTTTTTGAAGCATATCACCTCCGAGGAGTTCTCTGTTCTGAAGACTCCGAGGTAAGAGAGCCTGCTCCTCCCCTGCCAGCCAAGGCCTCTGAGGACTGCCTCCTGGCAGGCAGGGGCTTCCCTCACCATCCAGGCTACCTGGTGAGTGGCAGGAAGGGCTTTGGGGTGAGTGCATTGCCCTGTAGTGGCTCAGAAAAGAGGGGAGCCAGCTGATAGTCCTTCTTGGACCACTGTAGAGAGCCCATCCACAGCAGGCAGCCCCACAGTGGGGCAGAACCCTGTTCTCAGCCTGGGAAATGCCAGAATGTTAGTGGACATTTGCTCTAAGACCCCTGTGAAAGTCAGATCTTGACTGAGTTTGTTTGCTTTCATGGTCCAAGCTCTTCGTGTGCTGGGCTGGACTTGGACTCAGATCTGGGCTGACATGGGGTACACAGGGGTGGGTTCCAGAAGAGGGCTTGGCATTTCATGGTAATGTTTAGGCTGGGCCTGTCTCTAGGGGTTGCTGTCACATCAGAGCTGCCTTCTGCGATGGGGAGGAGTGAGGGGTGGGGACAAAAGAGATGAGGAGATGCAGTCAGACCTGAAATGAGTGTCCTGGGTCCTGCCAACAGAAGGAAGAGTTTGCCGACCCGGGAGGCAGGCTTCACGGTGGAAGACATCTGCATGCTCAGTAAGTCCTGGCCCAGCAGGCCTCTCTCCCTCAGGTGGGCCTGTTTTCTAGAAGCTGCTGCTCCCAGCTCTGTGGATGAGTATGGGCTGACTGACACAACCAACTTATTTCAGGACGCAAAGACCGCGGCAGCACCACCAGCCTTGGCAGTGACTTCTCACTGGTCCTAGAAAGCTCCCCAGGAGCAGCCGGCAGCTTTACCTACGAGGCTGTGGAACTGGGCCCAGCAGGAGCACCGACTCAGGCAGCTTGGTGAGCGGCCAGCTGTGCCCAGGGAGCCGGGCTGGAGCCTCGGGGAATAAAGGAGAATGAAGTTACATCCCTGCTGTCTGTGCCAGGCTTGGAGGTCAACCATCTGGTCAGTGATGGGGCCACTGCCCAATCTGACCCAGGGCATTAAGGCCCAGTTCCTGTGGAGAAGGAGGTAGCACTTGGGGTGCTGGCTGCTGGGCAGGCATGAGAGGTGGGGTTGCTCCCTCCGAGGAATAGCCATGGCTCAGGACTTGATGGCCCTTTGTGCAGGTGGAGTGGTGTTTACTGCACTGTGGTTAAGTACCAGTTGCTGCTGCATACTCAGCCAGTAGGCCAGTGTGGATGGATGTCCCAGTCCATTCATGGAGAGCCCAGGACCGCAGACCTGAGGGGTGCCAGGGTGTCCTGTTCCTAACAGTTGCCTTCACTTGGCCTGCAGCCCCTGCCCTTTGCCCTACAGGAGGAAGAGTCACTCATCTTCCCCACAGAGCGTCCTCTGGAGCCGCCCACTGCCCTCGGACGACCGCCTGCCCTCCCACCAGGGGCTGCTTGAAGCCAGGTCCTCCAGCTCCTCATCCTCCAACCACTCTGACAACTTTTTCAGGATGGGTAGCAGTCCCCTAGAGGTCCCCAAACCCAGGTGAGGAGCCCAAACCCTTCCCCCCAAGCAGGTCACCAAGCTAGTGTGTCAGGCAGTAAGGCCTACCTAGAAGGCTTTGTTTCCAGGAGGCTGGGATGGACAAGCCTGTGAGGCTGCTGTTGGAGAAGGGGCTGGTGTTTGGGCACAAAACAAGGGCAGAATCTGGAAACTGCTCTGGGAAGTGGTTGTGATGTGATTGATGGGTGGCCTCCACCTGTCATTTGGCAGTTCCTGGTTCCCTATGACCCTCATACTGACATGTGGCTGTGATGGGTTGTTCTGAGGCCCTTCTCCTTTCTGGGGGCAAATGCTGGGGCAGTAAGAAGAACCAGATGACAGAGTTGGGCCAGATGTATGTGTGGTCGGGGGGGAAACAAGGAGTGTTGCCACTCCTGACAGAGGAATGACTGGTAAGATGGCTGCACCCACCTGTCGCTACAGTAGGCTGCAGGTAAGATGAAAGCTTAGAACCCCAGGATGACCTGATCCCTGGGAATAGGATTTTCAAATGACAGCATTTCATTACCCTTGGTCCCATTTCATGCCTTCAAGGGAGAGGTCCTATGGATTGCTTTTTTAAACTTGAGAGCTGGAAATCTTCCATATCTGTTTCACTCCCAGATGTCTGCAACTACCTAAGCCAGGCCAGAGCCAAAACCCAAATCTGGGAGCTTCTTCAGGTCTCCTATGAAACTATAGGGGCACAGGCACTTGGGCCACTCTCTGCTCCTCTTCCCCCGCACATCAGCAGGGACCTGGATTGAAAGTGGAGCACAGCCAGGGCACAAACCAGCACCCGTGTGGGATCCTGCGGCCCAATTCCAGCTCTGCTGCTTTCTCAAATGTGAGAACATTGAGCAGCTAGTGAGGGGACCGGTGGGCAGGCATCAGAGAGCCTTCCTAGCTCTGGGAAAAAAAGAATCCTTTTGCAGAGGTGCCTGAGCTGTCCACACCACGTTCCAGGTCTGTGCTGTCATAAACCCCTGTGACGTACTCTTCAGGCCCAGGCCACTGCAGGCATGAGTTGTGTGGAGCCCTCCTCCCATCACCCTTCCTTAGGTTTTCACCATGTAAAGACAGGTAACTCAAGAAGGGGGAGGACTGTCGTTCTCACAAAGGGGAGCTTGGGACATCAGTCAGTATGCAGAGGGCTCCTCTGTGCGCTCACCCCCTGGTGCTCTCCCCGGTCAGCCTTTTGGATCAGGAGCTCGTGTCTCTGCCATAGCAGAGGCTGAGAATCACCATGAGTCAGACCCCTTGGGAGCTTGGTGCCAGGCAACCAGCTCCCCTGCCTGGCGTATGCCCTGCTGCCCTGGCCTCGTCCTCAGCTGCTGCAGTCTGCCATGGCACCCTCGCTGTTGTAAACTATGTGTCCACTTGCCATTCCTGCCTCTTTTTGCAACCTGGACAGTTGCTGGTCATCTGTGCCTTGGAGTGGACCTACTAAGTGCTGGGTGCTTCTGTGCTGAGGCTGTACAGTTCTCTCAGCCCTTTCCCCAGTCTGTGGGTCCTGCCCTGGCCCCGTCCTCAGCTGCTGCAGTCTGCCATGGCACCCTCGCTGTTGTAAACTATGTGTCCACTTGCCATTCCTGCCTCTTTTTGCAACCTGGACAGTTGCTGGTCATCTGTGCCTTGGAGTGGACCTACTAAGTGCTGGTTGCTTCTGTGCTGAGGCTGTACAGTTCTCTCAGCCCTTTCCCCAGTCTGTGGGTCCTTAGCCCGCCCTTCCTGCCACAGGATCTCACTCTGCAGTCCTGTGCTGGTGCCCTCCACCCAACAGGATAGCTGCCCCATCTAGGCCGATCCAGCATGGCCACCTAGGTGCTGCCAAGAGGCTGAAGGCTTGAGCCTCACAGTCCAGCATGCAAGGCTTGGCTGTGTGTGTGAACAGCTGCCATAAGGTGCCGAGTCTGGGGGTGTCTGCTGGGCCCAGGTGACGGCTCTCAGCCACATGCCTGTTTGCCAGAGATTTTGAATGACTTTATGATTCAGATTTGGAGCATTCTAATTATGCTTCCATTAGCATTAAAATTAATTTAGTCTCTTTTATCTTGGATTGCCTGAGGGAGTCTGTCTTCAGCTTCCCTGCCTCTTAGGTAACAGGGGCCAGGCAGGGCTGTCATGCCGTAGGAGTGACTGGAGGAGGCAGCCTGTAGCACAGCTATCCGGCCCTGGGACCCCCCTCATGGGACCTCTCAGCTGTATTCTGCAGGCTTGATTCTTGGGGAGCAAGACTCCCCAGCCCCACAAGAGTCATCCATGAGGCTTTGTTAGCAAGCCCAGGCTGCATCCTCAGTGAGAAGCTGGTGGTTTCTGAGTGTTGTTAGCCACCACAGCACTAACAGCAGCCTGAGATGGTGCCAGGAATCAATGGCTGTGGGATACCAGCTCTTGTGCACAGGTCACAAAGTTGTGTGGGGCCTTGGTCTCTGCTGCAAGCTTGGGTTTTGCAGGGTGGGGGTGTTGCTAGCAGAGTCTGGGGTCAGCAGCTGATGGGGAGACCCAGCTGGAGCAGGCTGACCAGAGTGTGGACGCACAAGAGCCCCCCCTCTGCTGCTGGGATTTGTTGATGCCCATGTGGACGGTCAGTGTCGTAGGCTTTGGCTTCACCCACTACACCATAGTGCCAGCCCCACCTTTTATCTTTTCTTCTTTTTCCCCTCAAGATTTGTTTGTTTTGGTTTAAAAGACAGATTCACAAGGAGAAACTACATGCACTGGTTTATGCTGCCACGGCCCTGCAGTTGCCAGAGCCGGGCTAGTCAGGAGCCAGGAGCCTGGAGCTTCTGGGTCTCCCATTTGTGGGTGCAGGGCTCCAAGCACTTGGGTTATTCTGCTTCTTTCCCAGGCACATCAGCAGGGAGCTGAATGGAAAGTGGAGTAGCCAGGACTCAAACCGGCACCCGTATGGGATGCCGGCACTGCAGACAGAGTCTTAATTTGGTATACCAAGGCACCAGCCCTCCAACTTTTTTCTTTCAGTGGATAGTCTGGTTTCAGTCTGAGCACCTTTTTTTAACTGAAGATTTACTTATACGAAAGTCTAGGTGACATCTGCTGGTTTCCTCCACAAACGGCCACAACAACCAGAGCTGGGCAAGGCTGAAATCAGGAGCCAGGAACTCCATCCTCATTTCCTACATAGGTGGCAGGAGCCCAATGCATCCTCCGCTGCATTCCTATATGAGTTAGGGAGTTGGACCAGAAAATACAGGAGCCACAACTTATACTGGCTCAGCGCCCGCTACACCACAGTGCCATACTCCTGGATCCATTTTTTCCCTTTTGTTCCTGCCCAATTAGAAGTCCCTGCACCCCTATCAAGAGGAAATGTCAGTGTGTGATTGGCTGAAGTGACCTCTGGTCTGACCTAGACTTCAGTCTCAGCTTGGCCAGTCTTCACCCTGTCCTTGAGAAAGTCACTTTTCCTTGAACTTCTGGCTTCTGAATGCCTTTTTACCTTGGGGTGATGATCGTGGCCTCTGAAGTTAAGGTTTAAGGGAGATGGTTAAGTTCCTGGCACATGATAAACATGTCTACAAGCTTGGCTACTCGTTGTTTTGTTGTGGTGCAGCCCATTCCCATGAGGCCTTGGGCCTGTGTTGGGCACGAGGCAGCAAGGAATGGCCCTTCCAGTCACCCAACCAAGCCCTTTTGTTCCTGCCTAGGTCCATCTGTTCTGCTTCTGTCAGGGTTCCTGTCCTGTCTTCCAGAAAGGACTGGCTTGAAGGGGCCTGGTTTGAGTTGCTCAGCAGGTTGGGAGGGAAAGACTTAAGCTGTGAAGAGGTCTGGGCCCCTGGGTTGAGGGCAGAGGACCGGGAATCTTGGAAGCAGTGAACTGCTGGTGGGTGAGACTGGCAAGTGTGACCTCCACGCTTCATGAGCACCTATCTCCTGGACACAGCCCTGGCCTCTCTTCCTCCCAGCGACTACCCAGCCACCGTGCGGCCTGTTCTGGAACATAGGCCTTCCGATGGGAGGATTCCCTTGGAGCCTGTGGGTCACTCATAAAGAGTACAGGGCCTGCAGAAGGTGGCTGCTCGCGTAGACCCAGAGTATACCCCTCCTCTGCTGCCTCAGCCGTGAGAGCCTACCTGCACTGCTTGCCTGTCCCTTGGAAGTGCTGGTCCTTAGCCTTCGTCATGGGGGTTTGGGCATGAGAAACTTGTCCAGGCTCTACGTGATCTCTAGTTGGCCTCCTGCCATCTGCCCAGCACCAGCTGCACCTAGGCAAGCTGGTGCTGGTTGGGGTCCCATGGAGTCCTGGGCAAGCCTGGCTGGTTCTCACTGGAGGTGTGAGGGACACCCTGCCTGAGCCAGTGTCTGCATCCAGATACCAGGAATCCTTGTGCTGTTGGCACTAGGGCTTCCCTCAGGTCATAGACTGAGACATCTTGCACCTGAGTAGCAGGAACCATGCAGGGCAGCGTTGGCACAGAAAGCCGGCTACCTGCCGGGGGCTTGTGGTGGTTCTCTTGCAGGTCAGCTGGACCGTGGCACACCTACACTCACTGGCTGGGGCCTCAGGCGGGGGTACTGCCCACCAAGGCTTCCTTGTCCCGTCTGGGAGGCAGGTGTAACTTAGAGCCACCAGAGTCAGTCTCGGGTAGCAACTGAGTGGGCCAGGGCACCTGAGCATCGTGCCCTGCTCCCCCGTATCTGCGCTTAGGCTTTGTTTCTGGGCCCCATGGGAGCACCTTCCACTGGTGAAACATTGAAATGCTGCCCCTCTGGGGCCCAGGACCTGAGGGGTTGACAAAAGGGACTTGCTTAGGGCTTGCCTGGCTGCTCCCCTCTGCTCTGGCTGGGTCCCTGCAGTGGACCAAGGAGGGGTGGCTGTGGGAAGGCTGTGAGAGCTGAGCATCCCAGCAGTGCTCAGCTCCCCTTCCCCAGGGCTCCAGCTGCAGAGGGTTGATGGAGCAGTCACGTTGTCGGCTGTCGGCGTCGTCGTTCATCCCCTCCCTGTGGGCATGGCCAGTGAGTTTGCTGGGCTGATGCTCCTGAATACAAACGATGGCTCCTGGAAGGCACTGCAGCGGGAAGAGACCTTGGGGCTGCTGTCCTTCCTGCAATCTGGGTCAGCACTCCCCACAGCCCACACACCCATGTTCCCTCCTCTCCGACGGGACCTCAGTGAGCTGCATGCTGGGGCTTGTAGGTTTCTGCTCCCTGTCTCAGTGTCACTAAGCTTGAGCTCGCTTTGTCAGTCCCAGGGGCAGACCCTCCCCGGCCCTCTGCAGCTGCTATGTGCATGCAGAGCACTGCCTCACAGCTGGGAAGCTCTGTGCTCTGCTCTTGGGTACAGCTTACCTAGCTTTATGCACCTGTGCAGAGATGCTTGCCTGGCAGGTGCTGCAATCTGCCCTTGGTCGTGGCCTGGGGCCTCCCACTCACTCCCTTTCAGGCGTGTGACTCATTGTGCATGGTTTCCCCTCTCTCCTCTCTGCCCCAGATCAGTGGACCACCCCCTGCCCGGATCCTCTCTCTCCACAGACTTTGGCAGCTGGCAGATGGTCACGGGCTGTGGCAGTATTCAGGAACGGGCTGTCCTGCACACAGACTCCTCCCTGCCTTTCAGCTTCCCGGATGAGCTCCCTAACAGTTGTCTGTAAGTGTCTGGCTTCATGAGGCAGGATGCTCCCCTGCCCTTCCCAGCTCTAGGCAGCAGGGGAGCTGCTTAGGAGTGAGGCAGAGGCTGGGCCAGGGGAGCTGGCCTCATGTCCTTGCTGTGTCCCCACTACCCCATTGATGGAGGAGGCTGGTGGCCTGCTGGGGAAGTATGTTGAGGCTGCCTGCAAAATCTGCAGACTGCTGGTTGTGTGGTGCAGGAAAGCTGACTGGATTGCAGCTAGAGCACATTCTGCTTCTACCCACAGCTCTGCCAGCAGGAGAAGCCTCTAAAAGCAGCCCAGTGAGGTGAAGGCAGGTGTGGGGAGCCGACGCCAGAGTGGTGCGGGTCAGCCCGTCTGTGCTCCCTGGCAGAACAGGCATGACTGGTCCTGCCTCACCCCCACCTCCTGCTTCTGCCTCTAGGCAGCAAAGCACTGGAAGAGATACTGGACCCATAGCCTGGGAGACTCTCTCTGAGGCTTCCAGCTCTTGGAGTGCACTGTCTTGACAGGAGCAGCTGCTGCTGCCAAGGAAGCTGCTTGCCTCCTGCCTGCTTTGCTGCTCCCTGCTCATCAGGCGGAGGGGAGCCTCCGGGGCCTGCAGATCCAACCTGCTGTTGTGGCTTCCTCCAGGGAGACTTCCCCAGCGTGACCAGAAGCCAGGTGCTATGGCCAGCGGGGAGGAAGAGAGCCCCTGGGAGCCACTGAGGGCATCCTGGAATGGCATTCACAGGTTCTGGCTGTGCAGCTTGGCGGTCGCTGAGGGCCCAGCTGAGTCTCTGGGCCAGACACCAGATTGTAGATTGCTATAAAACCTGTGACTCTTGTACTAGTAACTTCCTGGTTCCCACAAATGTGCCTAAAAATCATTGGTAAAGGAATCCCAAATGCCCCCCATCACTTCCTGAAGGGTGTGCGCACATGCGCGCGCACACACACACACACACACACACACACACACATTTACATTACTTTGGAGACCACAGCTGGCCAGAACCTCCTGAAGCCCCAGCTGTGCTCAGAGCTCCTAACCACACACCTGTGCTGGGTGGTTCCTGGGAGAGAGCTGTATGCTAGAGGTCTCAAGGTCCTGGGGGGATTAGAGAGGCCAGGCTCCATTGCAGGCGAGGGACTCAGTTGTGAGGCTGCCCCTGACACAGGACACTTGTTGTTTTCTTTGTTGGTCTGTTCCCTGTCTGTCTGCTAGAGCTGGGGATCATGAGAATGCATCTGATTGAAATGTCAGCCATTAGCACTTGTCTGCCCACGGGGCATAGGAAGAGCTGTATGAAACCCCCACCTTCCCAGAGATTGCAGTGGGATTCAGGCATCCTGGGGAGCCAGCCTCAGCTGTTTTAGCCTCTCCTAGACCTCAGAGCCTGCCGCTCCTCTGCCTGTCTCTCGTCACCCCCCCCACCACCACCATTTGACCTCCCTCGAGGCCCGAGGCCCCACACCCTGGGCAGTGGATGCTGAAACTTGGGGGAGTACGGTCTGTCAAGCCAAGGGAGGCCTCTGGAGGACGTAGGGCTTTGGCTGCACTTACTGGTTGGGTAGGTGGGACTATGAGGGTGTGTGCCGTGGAGCTCTGTGACCCTTGATATGATATAGCTAGTACCTTGGGGCTCTTGCATGGCAGGAGGCCTCCTGTGGAATCCATGCTCGGAAGAGCTGAGTATGTGCACCTGTTCCCTTGTCCTCCATGTGGAGACCCAAGGAGAGAGGGAAGACAGGATCAGAACACAGGTGCTTGCAAGGTGGGCTCCTGTGAGCCCCAAACCTGAAAATACAGGACCCATCCCTTGTGGGGAGGTGTCAGCAGGGCACCCTGGCCTTGCACACACAACACTGCCTCTTGCCAAGAGGTGTCAGATTCTGGCATTGAGCTGAGAAGATACATCTCTGTCTCAGACCTGGGCCTCTAGCTGTCCCTGTTGAGAGGAGGAAGCTATACCTGCAGGTGCCCAGCCTCTCCCTCCTTGCTGTCTCCTGGTGGAGTCAGATCATTCCCCCAGTCACACCTGCTGCTGCTGTGGTTGAGCACAAGGCCTGAGGACTGAGAAGAGTGCTGACAGAACTGGCCAGAACCCCCAGGCCGTGCATGGGGCTGAGTGCTGGGGCCACGGTGATGTATTCCCTCATTCTCTCCCTCCCCGCAGGCTTGCAGCCCTCAACAATCGGGAGAGCCGGCTGCAGGAGGTGCGCTCTGCTTTCTTGGCCGCATACAGCAGCACAGTGGGGCTTCGCGCAGCAGCCCCCAGTCCTTCAGGTGCCATTGGGGGCCTGCTGGAGCAGTTTGCTCGTGGAGTTGGTCTGCGGAGCGCCAGCAGCACCCTGTGAGGCAGTCAGCCCAGCACAGCTTCCTGCTGCTCTCAGCTGAGCCCTTCCTGGAATCAAAGCCATGCCTGGCCTGGGGTCCCTCCCCTGTTCACACACACAGCAGCCCCAAGCTGAGCAGGCCAAGGACAAGGGATACATCTTGCATCCCTGCCTAGTGGTGACGGCCACCTGCTCATCACTGCCTCCCGCCCACTGTGTCTTGGTCTGGATCCTTGCAGAGGAGGTGACTTCATATAGGATTTCTTCCAACTTTCTGGTTTCCTGGGAGGGAGGGGCCATTTGCACTGAAACAAGGCTGTTTGGATACCAATCACACAATAAAGTCAATTTTTTTTTTAAACAGCAGCTTGTGTACTCTGATTGCTGTCTGTGGAGCTCTGGGAAAGGGGCTCATGGCCCGTTGATGGGATGTGTGTTGGTGAGACCAGAAGAGAACAGGGTGTGCCACAGTGGACCCTTCGCCCAGAAAAGGAGACATGGACTGCCCTGCTGATGGGGTGGAACAGGTGCCCAGGGCTGCCTGAATAGTCTGTGGTGGCTGGGGGTGTAGTCTTTGCCTGGCTCAGAATGGGGAGGGATCCTGCAGTCAGCTTGGCTCCAGTCCTGGGACGGCTGTGAAGGAGGAGGGTCTCAAAGACCACTGCTCTCCACTGTGGCCTGGAAAAGGTGGTCAAGAATGTCCACATCTCCGAAGACCTGGGAGAGGGTTCAACCCGGCACAACAGCCTAGTAGCTAAATCTTTGCCTTGCATGTGCTAGGATCCCATACGGACACCTTCATGGTTCAGCTGCTCCACCCTCCTTCCAGCTCCCTGCCTGTGGCCTGGGAAAGCAGTCGAGGCCGGCCCAAAGCCTTGGGACCCTGCAGTTGCATGGGAGACCCAGAAGAAGCTCCTGGCTCCTGGCTTTGAATCAGCTGAGTTCTGGCCATTGCAGCCACTTGGGGAGTGAACCAATTGGCGGGAGATCTTTGTCTCTCCTCTATGTGTATCTGCCTTTCCAATAAGAAATAAATGTCTTTTTAAAAAATAATAATAATAATAATAAATAGATCTTTAAATAAATAATTTTTTTTAAAATAAAACATCCTTTGCTGGCCTGACCCTGTGAGACGGTTTGAATACCCAGAAGATGTAATGCCATTGAACAGCTGGGGAGTGCTTACTTTGTGCTAAGATCTATGGGTTGTCCACCCTGGCCAGCTGTTAGTGTGGCCTGTTGATGGGAATGAGCACAGGGGTGTTGAGTCATTTGTCCAAGGTCATAACCTTACCAACAAATGTAACTTTTTTTCATGACCCAGACAGGCACTAGCAGGCAAGGGGAGATGCCTAATGACGGAGCGACTGGGAGGCAACCAGCTAGCACCCACCGGATGCCCAAGTGCTTCAGCACCGCGGACAGCTCAGGGTGGGGGCTTGGGTTAGCTTGCTGCGACCCTGCATTGCGCCCGGCGGGACTCCGGACTTTGAGAGGTGTGGATTGGGGTTGCGGTTGGGTCCGGAAAAGGTTTCCGGCCAGCTCTGGGCTGCTCCAATGAAGTGGGGGCCTCCCGCAGGGCCAGGCGGGGCTGTGCTGCCATCTGGAGCCACTGCCGCTGGTGGCCACAGCCAGGACGCGAGCGGCGGGAGCGCACACAGGGCTGGAGGGAGCGCCACCGCCGCCGCCACCGCACATGGGCCGGCCCCGCGGACGCCGCCGCCCCTAGCCGGTCTCCGGGGCAGCTTCCCACGGCTCCGGCTGCCAGACCAGCCATGTCTCTCGGCGGAGCCTCCGAGCGCAGCGTCCCGGCCACCAAGATTGAAATCACCGTGTCCTGCAGGTGAACGGGCCATGTTGGGGAGGTTCCGGCACGGCACTGCTTCACCCCAGCCGGCTCGGGGCTCAGCTCTGCGCGGGCAGGGGTTGCAACTCTGGGTGGGGAGAGGCCTCGAGGACCGAGAATCGCCGGTGAAGATGGGGGGGGGGGCTGAGGAGGGGCTTCCTGAGCAGCCCCACCCCTCAAAAGCGCTCAGGGCGGGGGGGGGGGTGGGCCCAGGGGAATAAATTAAGGACGACCCCACTCCCGGACACGCCTGCGTCCAGCCTACAGAGTCTGGGTCCCCAGCGTCACCCGTGGGGCGATGAGAAGGGGGGGCTGCAAGGTGTCTCTTGCTTTCCCATAGGAACCTGCTGGACCTCGATACCTTCTCCAAGTCCGACCCCAGTAGGAGACTGCAGCGCAGGGAGGGGGGCCTGGTTCTGGGGGTGGGCAGGGGCAGCAAGGGACGGCACTACCCGACGCCTCCCTACTGCCCCACCTCCCCGCAGTGGCCGTGCTGTACACGCAGAGCCGAGCCAGCCAGGAGTGGCGGGAGGTGAGACCCAAAGCCCCTAGCCGCCATGGCTCGTGCGGGTACCCAAAAACCCCTCACAACACCTAGTGTCCCTTGCTGACCTCCCAACGCCCATCCCAGTTTGGCCGGACTGAGGTGATTGACAACACGCTGAACCCGGACTTCGTGCGCAAATTTGTCCTGGATTATTTCTTCGAAGAGAAGCAGAATCTGCGCTTCGATGTGTGAGGCCCCGCCCTCAGCCCAACCCGCCCCTCCCCCGGCCTGGCCCTGCCCTCCCCACCAACACCACTTCCCCATGTCTGAACCCCACCCCACCCCGCCCCACCTCGACCCCTGACGCCCGCACCCTTCCCAGGTACAATGTGGACTCCAAGACCAACATCTCCAAGCCGGTGAGCGGGTATCGGGTGGGCGAGGCCGGGGAGCGCCCGGATCTCGAGACTCTCCTTGCCCCGTGCCCCAAACCCTGCCTTGCCCACTCCCCTTCCTCACTGCTCCTCTTCCTTCCCTGCGCTGCTGGCACCTGCAGAAGGTAAGGCTTGCAGGGGGTAGAGGAGAGGAAAGGGGTGAGGGCAGGAGGTAGAGACCCCGCCTAGCCACCACACTCAAGCCCAAGCCAGGGGCTGGTTTTGCCCTTACTAGTCAGTCAGTGGTCAGAGAGAACAGCGTCCCTCGAACCTCACTGTCCCCCTCCTATGTGGTCCCGCACAGGACTTCCTGGGACAAGCATTCCTGGCCCTGGGAGAGGTGATCGGAGGCCAGGGCAGCCGTGTGGAGCGACCCCTCACGTGAGCTGGGGGGAAGACTTCCCCATAGACTCCCTCCTCCTCCTACCCCGTGTTGGGCAGCTCTGGGCCAGCTGGGCATCACCTGCACTGTCTGAGGCTTTCCTGGCCAGACCTCCATGGGTGTTGGGCCCCGCAGTTCAGCCCTGCCTCTCTGTCTCTGAGGCTGTCACCCTTGGGTCCACTGAAAGTTTCCCTGGACCAGGTCAGCCCCTCAGGGACTGGCCCTGATGTTCATGGATCTAGTGTGTACTCTGGTGGGGGGTGGGGGTGGAGTGCAGAGCAACTCACCTGGGGAACAGGCCCCCCCCAACACACACACCTGTCAGAAGACACCAGCCAGGTGCCATGGGAGGACAGACAGATCCTGCAGATGCCAGGTGGGTAGAGGTATGTACTTGGGGTGGAGGGGGCCTTCCCGACAGGTAACAGAAGCTGGCATCTGGAGGAGGTGAAGGAGTGGGCTCATGGGAGGAAACTTCCAAGCTTGCTGGTGTGATCACAGAACGGAGAACAGGTTCTGAGAACAGAGAAAGCAGGTGTGACTAAAGGCCCTGGAAGGCCCCGGAGATCCTGGTCAGCACCTTGGAGCTGCTGCTACGAGGGCAGCATCACCTGAGAGGAAAGGCCCTGGAGGGCTTGGGCTGGGACCGTGCCAGCACTGGGTGAGGGACAAGCCTCAGGTGCCGCAGGTGGTGGCAGCAGGGAGCCAGAAGCGGGCCAGTCCTAGATGTGTGCCTCTTGGCATTTTTTAAAATTTATTTGAGAAGCATCAATACCCATCTGCTGGTTAATTGCTCCAATGCCCTCAGTGTGCAGCTGCTGGACCCAGGGTGCCCCCATGGGGCTGACAGCACTGCTGTCTCCTTCCCGCTGGGCCTACACTGGACAGGAATACCAGTATCAGCTGGGGCATTCTCACCTGCAGGGCTGAGCACTTGCCCCAAATTCTGGTTGTGTGTTGTCGATAAAGCCAATAGGTTCCTGACAGATGGGATGTAGGGGTAAAGCAGAGAAGGGTCAAGGGTGGTGGCAAAGTCTGATTGGAGAAAGAGGAAAAAAGATGAGGCTTGAAGGGAGCAGGTCAGTGGCAGGATTTGGTCTGATGAACTTTGTCACATGATAGGTCCCCGATTCCCACGGGCAGGACCTGGTTGGAGTTCCCAGCCCCTGGTTCCAGCCCCAAGTGGTCCTGTCTGCTGTAGGTGTGTAGAAAGAGACCCAGAGGATGGGAGCTCTGTCTCTCTTTCTCTCCCTCTTGAATAAATAGATGCTGTTTTAAAGGAAGGCGAGAGTGGCAAGTTTGCCACATACTGTGAGACTCAGATACAATGAGCTCTGGGAATTGGCTGTTGGGATTAGCACGCGGGTGCTCCCGGAACTCAGCTACGGAACAGCTGAATACATGCAAAGCCGGGTGCCCTGCGCAGGGGTTGGGGTGGGGAGAGAAGGGCAGGCTCTGGTCCAGGGAGAGGAGAGGCAGCTGGCCTGAAGCAGGCAGAAAGGCATGGCAGTGAATTTCAGCCCCAGGAGAAGCAGGCACCACCATGCTGGGTGAGGCATGATCTGGGCTGTGCACTGGCCCACCACGTAGAGATGAGCTCCTACCTCTTCGAGGCTGGGCTCAGTCTGCCCTGTGGCTGTGCTAACTTCTGTGCGTGTTGAGCCGCCTGGTACAGGACAGGTCAGCAAAGCTGGATCTCACGGGGGTTATGCTGCTGTCCACGTGCCATTACGGTGTGCAGCACAGACCCAAGGAAGCCAAGAGGAAAGGATAGGTTGCAAAATTCACAGTGAGCCAGAGCCTGGGTTGGCACTGACCGACCGTGCAGGGTGCGGGATCTATTTGCAAGCCATTATTGATTGGATGAGTCAAAGGCAGGACAAGTGCCTCGTTGTTTTTTGTTATGATTTATTTATTTTTATTGGAAAGACAAATTTACAGAGAGAAGGAGACAGAGAGAAAAAGATCGTTCATCTTCTGGTTTACTCCCCAATTGACTGCAACATTCATAACTGAGCCAACCTGAAGCCAGGAGCCAGGAGCTTCTTCCAGGTCTCCCACACAGGTGCAGGGTCCCAAGGCTTTGGGTCATCCTCGACTACCTTCAAAGGCCATAAACAGGGAACTGGACAGGAACCAGCATCCATATTGGGTGCCAGCATTTGAAGGTTGAGGGTTAGCCAATTGAGGCACTGTGCTAACCCCAATCATGTGGCATCTTGAGCCAAGACTAAGCCCAGGGCTACCCCTTGTTTATATGCACATTAGCAGTGGTGGTCCCTATTGGTCACCTTCTAGCACATGTAAGTGTCCATTCTGGGGTCAGGATAAAGTACAGCTTTTCTTGTCTTTAAAAATGTGTGTGTGTGTGTGTGTGTGTGTGTGTGTGTGTGTGTGTGTGTGTGTGATTGATGTGAAAGCCAGAGTTACAGAGAAAGAGGGAGAGTGAGAGAAAGAAATTTTCATCCCTCCAATGATTCACTCTCCAGATGACTGTAACAGTTGGGACTGGGCCAGACAGGAGCCTAGAATTTTTTCCAGGTCTCCTACACTGGGTAGAGAGATCTAAGTATTTGAACCATCTTCCACTACTCTCCCAGGTGCATTAGCAGGGAACAGGATCTGAAGTAGAGTAGCTAGAACTCAAACTGGTACCCCTATGTGTGCTGGTGTTGAGGTGCTGACTTAACCTGCCATGCCACAGCACTGGCCCTTTTAGTTTTTCAATCATGCTTTTCACAGACATCGGAGACTCATCAGGCATGACTTGACACTCTGGAACCCTCACCCTTGGACTTGCTCTCCCCGCGCTCTCTGAGCAGTGTTTTCTGCTTCCAGGGGTGTGCCAGGAAAGAAGTGTGGAACCATACTGCTGACCGCAGAGGAGCTGAGCAACTGCCGGGTCAGTAGGAACTGTGTGACCAACCAGGAGTGCCTACCCTTGCCTCCTCATGTGAGGGCTGCTGGTTGTGTGGGTCAGCAGCCTGGCCTCTCTGTCCCCAGGACATCGCCACCATGCAGCTCTGTGCAAACAAGCTGGACAAGAAGGACTTCTTTGGGAAATCAGACCCCTTCCTCGTATTCTACAGGAGCAATGAGGATGGCACGTGAGTAGTCACCGTGGGAGGGCTTAGGCTGGGATTCTCCCAGGAGATGGGGTCCTGGGACATTGTCTCTGTGAACTCGGTCCTGCCTGTACCCTCCTCACAGAGGCGGGTCCCAATCCTCTCCCGTGCCTCCAGGTTCACCATCTGCCACAAGACGGAGGTGGTGAAGAACACACTGAATCCTGTGTGGCAGCCATTCAGCATCCCTGTGCGGGCCCTGTGTAATGGCGACTATGACAGGTCTGTTGGCACAAGCTGGGAAAACAGGGAACCCCACCAGGACAGAAGGCTCCTATGCCCCAGGGTGATGGTGGGCACATGATTGTGTTAGGATGAGGCAGGGTTAGGGGAATGAAGGTGACTTGGGGAGAGGCAGGTGAATAGCCAGGTGGATGGATAGATAGAGGAGTTAGTTGATGGATGGGTACCAAGTAGGTGGGTCAGCTGATCCAAAGAACAAATGAGTAGAAGGGAGACAGGTGGGTCAGTGGGAAACGACATTGAAAAATAGATAGGTAGATGAGTAGGTAAACATAACAGACTTTTTACAATACAGTGTTTGGATAGAAAAGTGGACAGGCAGACAGATGCTTACATTAAATCTGCTTGAATGATTGGATGTGTGATTAAGTGATGGACAATAAGATGTACTCATGGGCATGTGGGTCAGCGGTTGGCTAAGTGTGGGACCTAACACTGGCACACAGAATTTGAGCATGGGTACCAAGAACAAGGGCTGTGGACTCATGAGGTCTTTCTGTGCTAACTCCATCACCAGCTGCGGGATCACAGCCAGTTACAGGAGCAAGTATCTCTACTTCCTTGTCCAAAGACAAGAATGACAGTACTTTATCGGGTTATTATACTAAATCTGGACTTGGAACACTGCCTGGAATACAGGAAGGTTCAGCTAGTGGTAGGATAGGAATAGTGGTCCCTAAGCTCACTGATGAGCAGTGGTGCTGGATGGTGGGGTCCACACTGGGCCGGTGAATGAGCAGATGGATCACGGGTGGGCTGAGATATGAGTTGAGAAGAGGACCACTGGGTAGATGGGAAGCTGACCTAGGTATAGTTAAGTGAGGGGTTGGGGAGCTGTCTTGAGGATGTATCCTATACAGCCAGCCTATGTTTATCTCTTGCTTTTCAGAACAGTGAAGATTGATGTGTATGACTGGGACCGGGATGGAAGGTACAACTGGCTCACCCAGACAGCTCCTTCCTATATGCGCTACCCTCCCTGGGTATGTCAGAACAGCCTGGGAGGCCTGGAGGGGCACGACAGATACCAAGGCCTTGGGCTTGGTTCTTCCCTTCAGTCCGGCCCCCTTCTAGCTTCAGGCCTATTGCCCTAAGGAGCTTATGGAATGGGATTCATCCTGTCTCCCAGCCAGTCAGCCCCAGCTTCTGCTTGCCTCCCACCCTCCCTCTGCCCCCATCTCTGGCCCCGTTGCAGCCACGATTTCATCGGTGAGTTCACCACCAGCTACCGGGAGCTGAGCAAGGCCCAGAACCAGTTCACGGTGTACGAGGTGAGAGCCTCAGCTCTGCCCAGGTGGCCTGGGCCCTCCGCCCCAGGACGCTCAGCTTGCAGCCCAGCGGCCGCCTTCCTCCCCTCAGGTGCTCAACCCCCGGAAGAAATGCAAGAAGAAGAAATATGTCAACTCGGGGACTGTGAGTGCTGCCCAGAGCTCTGGCCCTGCCCACGCACCCTGTTCCCTTCTTGTTAACACAACCTAGTGTCCACCTTCTAGGCTGGGGACTTCATTGGGCACAGACCATAGTATGCCCAGAGTGGCCCTATTAAAAATGTTATGTTTTTCTTTTTCTCAACCCAGGATAAATTTTTTGTCTTTTATGAAATAAATGAAAATAACTTTCAGATGCATTTCCCAAGCATTGGGAAAGCCAAAGGTGTTTTTGATGATGTACGGCCTTGGGTCCCTTTCAGAGACTGAGCAGAGTGGGACAGGTTAGGGCCTGGAGTGAGATCACTGCCTTGTCTCTTCTGCCACCTCATTTTCGCTTGCCAAAGTGACAGGGCTGCCTCTCTGTCTCCCACAGGTGACGCTACTCTCCTTCTCTGTGGACTCTGAGTTCACTTTTGTTGATTACATCAAGGGAGGGTGAGTTCTAGGCCCAACCTTGGGGCCAGAGCCCATGTCGGAGCTCAGCTTTGACTTCTAATGAAGGATGAGGGCCCAGTAAGAGCATGGAGGGAACCTCCAAGAAACTGCCACCTCTCCTCTGGGTCTCCTCCTGGCAGCCAACGTTCCTGTTCTCAGCCTCTGCTCCCTCCAGGGAGCTGATTGCCTGGCCAAAGGGCTCTAAAGTTCCCCTCACTGGGGCCCAGGCAGCGTGGGCAACCCCAGGGAGAGAGATGTGCCCAGCAGACTCCAGGAACCATTCAGCTTGGCTGGCTGGAGGCAGGCATACCTGGGAAGGGTACTTTGCTTCTCGTTGTCCTTCAGCGTAAAATGCAGGGTGAGAACAGGGGTTAGGTTAGATCACAGGGAGACACAATTCTGCTGCAGTTGCAATGGCAGCCTGTGGGAGCTTGTGAGGCTGCCCCACCCCAAAGCCATCTGATTCCGAATCTGCAGTTGAACATGAACCAGCCAGGCTATCCACTCACATACTGGGTGAGCTCTGGCCAAGCCGGGGTCAGCCCCTCACTCCTCCACCCTCCGTTTCCCCAACAGGACGCAGCTGAACTTTACAGTAGCCATTGACTTCACAGCTTCCAACGGTAAGGTGACATGGCTTGCTGGTGTTGGGGGCAGGAGTTTCTGAGGGAATTACTAGGCACTGGCCTTTGTTCTACTCTTCATCGCCCCCCTAAGGTTGCAAGGTCCCTCCCCCAAGAAGCCTGGGCTTCCAGAAAGCCAAGGCAGGTTAGAACGGGTGGGAGTGTGGGAGGAACCTTGGGCTACCAGGGCGGACAGAGGGGGAAGGAAGATACACAGTTAGATGTCCAAGTGGGCTGAAGTGATGGCTCGACTGTAAGATGAGAGGAAATAGGAGTGCAACAAGATCTGGGTAGGTGAGTAATGTAACTGAATGGAGGGGAGGATAGATGACCAAAGATGGTGGGTCGCTGGAGTGGGTCGCAGTCAGCACAAGAGGCCGGACAAGTAGATATATAAATGGATACAGGGCTAGACAAGTAGACAGATCTTTATATTGGGAAAGTAATGTTTAATTAGGGGAGGGGTAAGTGAATATGAGATTAGACAGCTGGGAATGGCTGAGGAGATGAATAAAATTGTGTGGCTGTATGACTCATTGGGAGAGAAATGGCAGGTAGACGGGTGGACAGATGATGTGTGGCTGTGCAGCAGAAAGCAGGGGAAGATGGATGCAGACAGCATAGGTTGACTGAAAGGTAGATGGACAGCCAGGTGGATGGATACAATCAAGGCTGGCTGAGTGGAGAGGTGGGTCAATGGACAGATAACCTGAGTGACCCCAGGTGGGGCTCCTGTGTCCCTCCAGGGAACCCCCTGCAGCCCACCTCCCTGCACTACATGAGTCCCTACCAGCTCAGTGCCTACGCTATGGCCCTCAAGGCAGTGGGCGAGATCATCCAGGACTACGACAGCGACAAGCTCTTCCCAGCCTACGGCTTTGGGGCCAAGCTGCCTCCTGAGGGCCGGATCTCCCACCAGTTTCCCCTGGTATGGTAGGCACAGGCCAGAGCTGCACCCCGTGCCAGGGCGGCTGGTCCACACAAGTGGCCAGTTTCTTGGAAGGGTGAGGGACTGTGGAGGAATAGGAAGCTGAGAGCATTGGCAGAGTGGGGACGGGGCAGGGTAGGGGTAAGGGCTGGCTTTGGAGGGAGCATGAAAGGGAGCGATGAAAAGCAGGCTGGGCAGGGACCAGCCCCCTGGGCGTTCTTTCACAGAACAACAATGATGAGGACCCCAACTGTGCGGGCATCGAGGGCGTGCTGGAGAGCTACTTCCAGAGCCTGCGGACTGTGCAGCTGTATGGGCCCACCTACTTTGCTCCTGTCATCAACCAGGTGGCCAGGTGAGGGGCTTGGGCAGGCTGCAGACCAGGGACTGGCTCCTTGAGCATAGTCAGGACTGCTGTTGGGTGAACTTGGGAGGAAGGGGACGGTTTGGTGTACAAAGCAGTGACCTGGTACCTCACGGGGGGCTAGGCGGAGCTCCAATCGGCAGCCCCACCCCAGCGCCTTGGAAATGAAGCCCAGGCCTGTGTTTGGGTCTTGGGTACAGTGGTGAAGGCCTGAGCTTTGGTGTTGGGAACTGGGTGTGGTCCTGGTTGCAGCGCTCAGCCCATTTCAGCTTCTGATTCAACTTCCAGTGGTGATGAATTTACAGGTGGCAGAGGGGGGTGGATCTTCCACCCACTGCTCCACCACCCAGATGCCTGTGACAACCTGGACTTGGCTAGTACAGAGCCAGCAACCCCATCAGGGACTCCCATGTGGGCCATGGGGACCCAGTACCTCAGCTAACACCTGCTGCCTCATGCACATCCACAGGAAGCTGGGTCAGAAGCAGAGGTGGAACTTGACCCCAAGTGGTGGCTTCATATACTGTGCTATAATCCCCACCCTGTGAGAGGAATCAAAGTCCCACCTAGCAACACCAGCATCCCACATGCAAGTGCCAGTTCATGCCTTAGCTGTTCCACTTCTGACCCAGCTTCCTGCTAAAGCACTGGGAAGGCAATGGAAGATGTCCAGGTGCTGGGGCCCCCACCAGCCATGTGGGAGACCCAAATGGAGTTCCTGGGTTCAGCCTGGCCCAGACCTGGCTATTGCAGACATTTGGAAAGAGAACCAGCACATGGAAAATTCTCTCTACCCTTTCTCTCCCTCTCTGTCACCGTGCCTTTCAAATATATAAGCAAATAAATAAATCTTTAAAATAAACGAAACAGTGTCTGGCCCACAGTAGGTACTCAATGGTTTACCTACTAGAAGAACAATAGAATAATCTTCCAGGTTTTTCAGAGTACAGATATACAAAAGAATATCCAGGTCATATATCAAATGGCTTTGAAAGCCAAAGAGTTTTTAAAATAAAATGATAGTACGAAAATCAAGTTACTTCATCAAATATAAGTGGGGTAAAATTTGCTTGAACTTAGGAGAGACAAATAATTTCTGGATAGAAATCTTGAGTAAACCCCACTGTACACTGCGCAGAAATGAGTAGTGCATGAGGATTTAGGAGGATTACCTGTCCGCAAACTTCCTTCTCCCACAGGGAGGAGTTGCTTGTTTTCTAGTCCAGAATGAGGATGATAGTTCTTAATCATGAAAGTGGCATACACTGCTGCAAGAAATCTTTAAGATGAAGAAATCAGATGAGGACCCGCTCTGAATTCTGGGAAGGCAGACATACAAGAACATGTAAGGGTTAGGGTTGGGGGCAGGTGCTGTGGATGGTTAGGACATCGCTGAAGGGGATGGGTGTGTTAACACAGGCATTCGAGCTCCCCTTTGGAGCCGGTGTCTCATGTCGGGGTGCCTGGTTCTGATTCAGCATCCTGCTGATATGCCCAGGAGGCAGCAGAGGATGACCCAAGCTTTTGGGTCCCTGCCATTCTCATGAGAGCCCCAGATGGGGCTCCTGGCTGCTGCCCGGACCAGCCCTTTCACTCCTCACAGCTGAGGAGTGAACTGGCAGATGGAAGAGCTCTCTTTCTCTCCCCCTACACTCTGCCTTTCATATAATTGTAAACATATATTTAAATCAGAGTGCTTGAGTACAGTCCCAGCCTCCTGTCAGCAGCAGTGATGTCATGAACACCCTTGTAGGGGAGCTGGGTTGATTTCTCCTCCTAGTCCAAGTTGTTGTAGACACTAAGGAGTGACCAGCAGAGAGGTTTCTCTGTCTCTCTGTTTCTTTGCCACTCAAATAAAGAAAAATTTAAGTTCATGGGAAATGCATACTTCAAGAAAGTTCTGCATTGATTTCTAACTTTTTTTTGCACCAAAATAAACTTTTTAAATTCCAATTTCTATGAGCTTTCTAAAGCAGCTTCGTGTAAGTGACACATTACCTAGTGATGGGCACAGTGACATTAGTCTCTCACAGGAGATGAGATGGAGCAGCTGCAGCTGGTGGGGCACGGCACAACTTACTCTGTGGTCAGCATTCCCATTGTCATTTGTATCACAGAGGCAAAGATAGACAGAAAACTCCCATGATCTGCTGGTCCCCTCCTCTAAATGTCCACAATGGCCAGGCCTGGACCAGGGGAGTCCAGGAGCCCAGCGCTGGCAGGGACCTTGCTGCTTGGGCATCACCCGCTAACCTCCCATGGTGTACACGGTGGGAAGCTGGAGTCACAGCAGGAGCTGGGGGAACACAGACTCAGGTCCCGCAGGACGAGATGTGGGCACACCACAGGGTGTCATAAGCACTTTGCCAAATGCCTGCCCAGGCTGCTTGGGAAGTAACATACAGAGCATGCCAGAGCAACCTTGGGGCTGTTCACCGTCAAGTGCAACACCATACGGTCGGTCGTAGTCTGTACTTCCATGGGTCTTGTGGCATGGGGCATATGGAGAGCTGTTGGACCCTGGAGTCACAGAGTGGCAGTGGTTTGTGAGGTTCAAAGCTCGCAGGACCACTGCACCATGTCTGCAGTCCACCACGGACTGAGAAACACCAGAACACAGCTTGTGGCCAGGGTTCTTCCCATCAGTAAGTGCAGGTGAGTTATGCAAAGCATCCCACCAGCCCATTGATTTTTTTTCTCACTAATACGAGTGTTGGAGCCTGAATGTAGTTTTTGATATTATGAAGCATACAAAAAGTGTTATCTTGCTTGGACTGCAGCACCTATTCATGGATTTGTTCATTTGATTCAGTGTTCAGTGGAGCTAAGACACCTGTTCCATCCCCAGCTGTGTGGCTGACTGGTCAGTAGGTTTGAGCTCTCTGTTCTTGTCCCTCACTTGTCATGTGAGCGTCCTAACAGCCTTGTGGGGACAAGAACAGCAAGCACTTGGCCGAGTGTCCACCCACCACCTGCCCAGGGCCCTGTGAGCGTTGCTCTCCCTGTTCCTGTTATTACCGCAGCAGCTATTCAGGGGGCATCTGCTGTGGGCCCAGTTCTCTGCCAGGCACAGGAGAGCCACATAGGAACTACTTTGAGTCTTTGCCCTTGGGAGCTGCTGGCCTGATGGAGCGACAGAAGTATAAATAAACCATTACCTGCTGTGGCAGAGGCTGGCGGTGGCGCCCCCTGGAGGGAATCAGAGGCACAGCCCAGAAGAGCCAGGTTACGAATGTCTTTGAAGTCTTCCTTATTTCCTTTTTATAACTCATCTTTAAAATTCACTTGAAATTTGTGTTTTATATCTTGCTCATATTGCATCTCTGTAAACTGCCTCAGTGCTTTTGGGCCTCCAGTTCGTGGGTAGGACAGGTGTGCCCTGTGACCTTGAGCGCCCTCTGCACACACGCCAGCCAGTGCCCACGTGGAGGGGCTGTGTCCTAGGCATAGAGGGAGAGGAGGGGAGGGCACAGGTGGAGCTGGAGGGTGAGTAAGACAGAGGAGCAGAGCAGGACTGAGGGGAGGCCCCTGAGGAACACAGGGGTAGAACGGGGCAGATGTCCGCTGGTAGGTGTGTGCAGAGGCAAACCAGGGCTGTGGGAGAGTGTGAGGGCCTGGAGCACTAGCTGTGGCCATACTCTCTGCTCACAACCTTGCTGCTTGGCTCCCGTGCTGGGAGTGGAGGTTACTGCTGATTCAGACTTGGATATTGGGGGTACACCTAAGGTGCCAGCAAACATAGCCCTCAGCTTCCCCACTAGGCACCTGCCCCTAGGCCAGACCGCCTGGGCCCGTGTGATGCCTGTAGGTGACCCCAGCTGTCACACCCTGCATGCCAGGGGCTCTTGTCCACAGGACTTCTGCTGTGACTTGTGGTTTGCAGCCACCATTGTTTCTCTGGAGCATGTCACCTGTACCTATCCACCACCCGCCCTGCTCCCCACTCTCCTGGCGAGCTCCACATCTGCTGCCCATGGCCTCAGGGCCCAAGCCTTGGTGCCTTCCAATGCCATAAGCACTTGTCTCCCCTGGACCATGCCAGCCCCCTGCTGCTGAGCTATGCTGGACACACAGCAGGGGTGCTATGACTGAGACTAGTGTGTGACAGGGCAACACACTGGCCAGGCCCGGGCCTAAGTTATCCACACTCACCTGCCTCCCCTGTAGCTGCATGTGGATATTCAGCAAGAAACGGAATTCTTTGATTCACATACACACACATATATATGTATGTGTGTATATGATCTACATATTTATTTGAAAGGGATAATGACAGAAAGAAGAAAAGAGACAGAGTCTTCCCTCTGCTGGATCACTCCCCACATGACTACAGCAGGACTGGGCCAGGCTGAAGCCAGTAGCCTGGAACTCCTTCTGGGGCTCCTGTGTCAGTTGTCTTAGTGGGGACCTGTGGCCTGTGGCAGGCAGTGGGGAGAAGGGAGAGAGGTCTTGGTGTGGGGAGGGGGAGCCCTGGGCCCTTGCCCTTCTACTCCTGCCCACTGCAGTCTATCAGACCTCTGTCCCCCACTTTCTGACCAGCATACCTGGAGAACTACCTTCAGTCCCTTGCCAGGGCCTCTGTACATGCTGCTCTCGCTGCCTTGTGTGGCCCCCACTGCATTCTCTTGGCCTCACCTAGCTCCTTAAAGGACCCCCTTACTGAGCCCCCAGCCTGGGGACGCCTTCAGAGCTCTGTCCTGCCACCTCAGCACTCTGCATGTGAGGATTTTACACATCTTGGTGTGATGCTCGAATCAGCATGTCTCCCTCCTTATGGCTGAGATGGATTTGCTTTTTCTCCCTGTGTGGGTCTAGAGCCCCCCACAGGAAGGGCTGAGGGGAGGTGAGCAGCCGGGTCTGCGGACGAGGCATGGGCTGCACCAGGCCCAGCTCTTGCCCTCTGCTCAGACGCTGGCTGTGGGAGCCTCAGGGTGGTATGCTGCCGCGGCAACTCTACATTAGAGCTGCATTCTGACCTTGACCCCTCACCCAGGGCTGCGGCCAAGATTTCAGATGGTTCTCAGTACTACGTTCTGCTCATCATCACAGACGGAGTCATCTCGGACATGACGCAGACCAAGGAGGCCATTGTCAGCGTGAGTCGGAGGCGGAGGGCTTGGTCGAGCGGAGGGACTTTGGGGGGCTGAACTGTGACCTTGCTTGGGAGCCATAAGTGTGACCCTGCATTTTGCTGGATACTGGCAGAAAAGCCGAGACTCCTGGTCCAGAGACTGTGATTCCCAGCAAAAGCAGGAGCTGGGGTGGCGGCATTTGCTAGGCTCTTCCAAGTCCAGTCCCCACAGGACAATGGGGGTACCGCAGCAAAGGACCCCTTTTCTACCAGTCAGGAAGCTGGCCTGTCCTCGGTTCTGGCTGAGAGATCTTATGTTAGCCAGGACAGCCCACCTGCCCACAGCCGCTGGGGGATCACCTTTTTCACTCCAGCTGTTCTCCCCTCTCTTCCCACAGGCCTCCTCACTGCCCATGTCCATTATTATTGTTGGTGTGGGACCAGCCATGTTTGAGGGTGAGTGAGAGTGTAGCAGGAGGGACGAGGGTTTGTGAGTAGGACTGAGAACCGGGAAGAGAGGGAGGGGAACTGTGGAATACTCTGATGCACCTCATGGAAGATGGGTGGGGAAGCTGGCAGCATCACAGAACGCCCTCCCCCAAACACCTCATTTCCCACCAGTACAAGCACAGATGGGAGAAGAGAAGGTGAGGAAGGCACGGTTCTACGGCTCTGTGTCAGTGTTTAGTATTGGTAGGGCTTCGACACAGCCGTGAGCATTCCCAGCGAAGACAGCAGGGAAGAGCTAAGAAGACTGAGGGTGGCAGGGCTGAGCAAGGTCATCTTTGCAGCCATGGAAGAGTTGGACGGCGACGACGTGCGTGTGTCCTCCAGGGGGCGCTACGCCGAGCGGGACATCGTTCAGGTAGACCTGGCATGGGGCAGGGCACAGGAGATGCCTGGGTGGGTGGGAGCCGCAGTCCCTCCTGCCCAGCACTCTTGTGCTGTCTGGAGGACCCAAGGACCCCCTAGTGGAGGCAGCAGCTCCAGGAGGAGCTTGATCTTGCACAGGGGTCAGGGAAAGCCTGTGGGTAGTGGGGTCACACGCAGGGCACCCTGGGCTTGCTGGCTATAGGAAAGGATGAGGGTCTTGTCCCAGACCTGGAGTGCTCCTGCGGGACCTGCCATGGGAGTCTCCCTGGGTGGGCAGCAGAAGACCCCTTAGTGAGGCCTCCCTGGGGCCCGGATGGAAGCAGATGCTGCACAACAAGGCGGTGTTGGGAGCTGGGATCCTCAAGGATGAGTTGTGTTGGGGGAGCAGCTGGGTGGGAAGGGGGCAGCTAGCAGGAAACCCTGGTGCTGAGCTCCAACAGGCTAGTCTGCGTGAAGTCTCAGGGACTGGTGTGCAGTTTGGGATCTTAGGGTGGACAGCAGCAGGTGTGCAAGTCTGAAAGTCAAATAGAAAGTGAAAAGGGGCCACGCCTGCTTGTCCGCACCCGCCCAGTTCGTGCCGTTCCGAGACTATGTGGACCGGTCAGGAAACCAGGTGCTGAGCATGGCCCGACTGGCCAAGGACGTGCTGGCTGAGATCCCGGAGCAGCTGCTGTCCTACATGCGCACCAGGGACATCCAGCCCCGGCCCCCACCGCCCACCAGCCCCGGCCCGGCTCCGAAGCAGCCCTGAGCCTATGGTCAGCTTGCCAGCCCCGGCCTTACCCCGGGGCAGCCCTGAGCGGTCTGCACACCCTGCGCCCGCAGTTAGCTCGCCCACACGTCTCTTTGTTTCTGTTGCAAGCCAAGGGCCGCTCCGACCCCACCCCCACCCCCTGCGCGCTGCTGCCGCCGCCTGCCGACCTTCGGGTCACCAATAAAGCTCTTCTGAGTCCAGCAGTGTCTGCTGGGGCTGTGGCAGAAAGTGGGGGATCTGGTACTCGGCTCTGAGCCCACGCGCGTGAGGAGGCCGCTACAGGGTCCTCAGAGGGCTCACCTGCCGGCCATTGCGTGTAACTCTGAGACCCACTCATTCTTAGTTCTTTTTTTACCTTTATTAGAAAGGCATATTTACAGAAAGATCTCCCATCCAAATGGCTGTAACAACCAGAGCTGAGCTGATCAAAAGCCAGGAGCATCCTCAAGGTCTCCCACAAGATGCAGGGGCTTGTGGACTGGGGCCATCGTCCACTGCTTTCCCAGGCCACAAGCGGGCATCGGGTGGAAAGTGAAACAGCTGGCACTTGTAGGATGCTGGCGCTTGCATTTGGAGGATTAGTCAGTTGTGCGTGCCATCTGCTTGGAGTTCTTAGGAACTCGATTTTTCTTGGAGCAGTCACCAGACATGGATAGGTGATGGACAGCCATCATCTCACGAATCCTCAGGTTGACCGTGTGAAACTAGCCTTCCACTTTGTCCCCATTGTACACATGACAGGCGCATCACTTTCTATCCCTATCCCACGGTCTTCCCCAGAAACCAATTCTGTGGACTGTTTTAGAAAACACGACATAGGACAGCACATAGGTTCCGGTGGGCGTTAGATAGACCAAGTCTGCGGCAAGAGGAAAGGAGTGCTTGAGGGGACGGGGCTGGAGGGCTCGAGGACCTTGGGGTCCCGCTGGCACACCTCTAAGGTCGCAGCACTGGACAAGCCTCCCAGCAACGGATCAAAGCCGTGTGCAGCTCAGGAACCGAGGAGCCCCAGGGAAGGACTGCGTCATCTGGCAGGTGCACCGGCTGCCCAGGCCGCACCAGTGGTGTCCCACCCCGCGGCTCCACCTCCTCAGGCCCCGCCCCCTGGGGCTCCTCCCCTGCGGCTCTCTCTCCTCGGGCCCCGCCCCCTGGGGCTCCTCCCCTGCGGCTCTCTCTCTCCTCGGGCCCCGCCCCCTGCGGCTCTCCCTCCTCGGGCCCCGCCCCCTGGGGCCCCGCCCCCTGGGGCTCCTCCCCTGTGGCTCTCCCTCCTCGGGCCCCGCCCCCTGGGGCTCCTCCCCTGTGGCTCTCCCTCCTCGGGCCCCGCCCCCTGGAGCCCCTTCCCTGCGGCTCTCCCTCCCCCAAGGCCCGCCCCCTGAAGACCCTCCCCTGCGGCTCCCCCTCCTCAGACCCCGCCCCCTGGAGCCCCTCCCCTACGGCTCCCGCTCCCCAAAGCCCCTCCCCTGCGGCTCCTGCTCCTCAGGCTCCTCCCCTCTGAAGACCCTCCTCTACGGCTCCAGCTCCCAAGGCCCCGCCCCTCCAGAGCCCCTCCCCCCGCGGCTCCCGCTCCTCAGGCCCCGCCCTCGAACCACGCGCCTCCTCGTGGCTCCCGCTCTCCAAGCTCCGCCCTCGCAGGCCACCCCCTCAGTAAGCCCCTCCCTATCACCCCCTGTTCCCCAGGCCCCGCCCCATCCGAAGCTCCTCCCCACGGCTCCCGCTCTCCACGCTCCGCCCCTCCCCAGGCCCCGCCCCTCCGGGTCCGGCCCCCGCGCGCTCCCCGTCGCCTCAGGCCCGCGTCGTCAGCGCCGGCTCCGCTCCCGTGCCCCCCGGCACCCTCGGGGAGCCCACCTTTCGGCCTGTGCCGGTCCCTCCCCTTGCGGTTCCTCAGCGCCGCCCCCGCAGGCAGGCCCCGCCCCGCAGTCGGCTCCGGTCCGCGTCCCTGCGGCCCCCGGGCCTGCCCCCCGAGTCCCGCCCCGTGCCTCCGGCCCCGCCTCGCCGCCTTTCTCGGAGACCGAGGCCAGGTCCCCGCCGCGGCCGCCGCGCCCGCAGGAGGGGGAGGGGAGAAGGGCGGGCTCCTCTCGCCCAGCCCGGCGCTCGCTGTCCGCGCCCGCAGATTCGCCACAAACGGCCCTGCGTCCCCGGATCCCACGCGCCGTGGCTGCCGGGACCTGAAACCCGGCTGCAGGGATGGAGGTGCTAGACGAGCCCTGTCAGACTCCCGGGAGTCTCCCCGGCCCCGGAGCGCGGCCGCTGGGGCCTCGGCGGGCCGGCAGGGAGCCGTGGCGAAAGTGCCGCTCGGCTGCGCCGCGGCGCCGCGTTTACCCTGCGCAGACGCCGCCGCTGCCGCCGCCGCCGTCGCCGCCGTTGCCACTGCCTTTGCCGCCACGGACCCCGCCGCTGCCGTCCCCGCGCTGCCTCCGGGAGCCTCTATTGTTGCGGCCGCGCCGGGTCCCGAGGCCAAGCAGCCTAGAGACCTGCGGAGCGGGCCAGCGGCCGACGGAGTGGAGCCCCTGTGGGCGCCGGCGGGCCCGGGAGCGGCCGGGGGTCAGCGCGGGAATCCCGGGCAGCAGGGGCCGGAGCGTGGGGAAGGGGGCGGCCAGGGGCCGGGGTGGCGAGGTACGCTGCCTACGGAGGTGGGGTTCCCCCTTGGCGGCCCGCCTTCCCCCGCCGGCCTCCCCGAGAGGGGTCGGAGCCCCGGCGGGCGCCCCCGGCGATGAGTCCGGACTCGAGGTGGCCGGTGAGTTTGCGGGAGTGGCCAGCGGCACGGGGAGGCCCCCTGGACCGGGCGCGGCGGAGCTGACAGTGCATCGCCTCACTCTGGTGGGCACTCCCCCGGCCAACAGTAGCCTTCGCGGCGGCCGTGGCTAGAGCAGGAGGGGCCCCGTGGTGAACTCGCTGCATTCCCACAAAGGGGAAATGTGGTTGCATCCGGCCGTGCGAGGCGGGCACGGCGGAGAAAGAGCTAGGCCCTCCGCCCCCCACTTCCTCCATCCCCCGCCCCCGGAGCTCCCCCGGGTAGCTGTGAGCGCCACACCCCTGGGCCCCGGGCCCTGCCCCCCGCGGGCTTCCTGATTTGATTCCCTCTGTGTGCCTCTGCCTGCCGGTCCCAGCAGGATGTAGTGCCTGGGGGCGGCAGAGCCAGGGCCACTGCGGTCACCTGGGACAGCTGGGGCTTGGAAACGGAGAAGCTTGTTTGTGTGTCTGGTAGGTTGGTGTTGAGAGATAAAGCAGGCAGGTAGGACTCGGCGGTGGGGTGGAATTGAACTGGATGAGGAAACGAGGGGCTGCTGGCCGGCAGCTCACCTGCCTGACTGAACTGCAGCAAGGGAGAGGCCGGAACAGGTCAGCTTGGTCAGAGAGCTCCGGGTGGCCATGCCTGAATTGTTGAATTCGGACCAGCAGAGAGGACATCCGGGCAGGCCGTGGCTGAGCTGGGTGTCCTGGAGGCTGGGCCATCCCTTGTGTCCACTCGCCTGGGAGGGCTGGGCGGGTCTGCCCTGTGGCGTCCTCATCTGTGTTCTCTGGACCTAGACCTCCCACACAGCACGTGCTCTTGTCCTTGACAAAGTGACCTTGCTGTTCCTTCGGTCCCCAGTGCATCTTCCGGGCTAATGCCAAGGCCAGCAGCATGGCCACTACTGCTGGGATTCCAGACAGATTCTCTGGCCTCCTTTTGAGGGTTCGGACACAAGCCGAGCCTCATCCCAGCCCTCCTGGCCCCAGTGATCCCACTGGGCAGCTGTTTGGGCAACAGGTGGCTCACTCATGTGCTGAGACCCGAGTATTGGTGCACACTGGGTCCTGGGTGGACGGGTCAGCTCTAGGGTTGGCACTGCAGTGCTCCTAGTCATGGGGGGTTGACTGGGAGTTTCCTGTGTGGTGGGTGCTACAGGGAGAGGTCCCCAGGGGAGGGCTTAAGACATCTTAGCAGCAGTGTCCTTTGAGCCAGAATAAGTGGAAGCGCACTGCTCAGAGAGGATGGGGACATTCCAGAGAGACGCTGTCTTGCAGGGCAGGCAGGTTGCTCAGGAGGCGGCAGAGCTGGATGGGTGGGAAGCACTGAGGAAAGGCTAGAGCCCCACATGGAAAGCGCCTTGAGTACCATCCTGGAGAAGGTGGGCATGATGCTGCGGGCACTAGGTGCTGCAGGAAGCCTGGTCAGCCTACAGACATGGCCGTTGCTGCTGTGTGATATGCAGGGTGGGGAAGCGGAGCCCGGGCCAGGGACACGGTGGAATAGGTGGCACTGGAGCAGCTGTAGAGGTGGACAGCGGGCTCACGAGCACAGGGTCAGGGACCGAGAGCTCTCCTCCAGGCCGGTGTTGACTGCTCCTTCTCTTCCAGATCTGACAGCATGGGGGTGGACTTTGACGTGAAGACCTTCTGCCACAACTTGCGGGCGACTAAGCCACCGTACGAGTGCCCGGTGGAGACCTGCCGCAAGGTCTACAAGAGCTACAGTGGCATCGAGTACCACCTTTACCACTATGACCACGACAACCCGCCACCCCCGCAGCAGACCCCACTTCGCAAGCACAAGAAGAAGGGGCGCCAGTCACGCCCCGCCAACAAGCAGTCACCCAGCCCTTCGGAGGTGTCCCAGTCCCCAGGCCGTGAGGTGATGAGCTACGCCCAGGCCCAGCGCATGGTGGAGGTGGACTTGCATGGCCGCGTGCACCGCATCAGCATCTTTGACAACCTGGATGTGGTGTCTGAGGATGAGGAGGTCCCCGGGGACGCGCCGGAGAACGGCAGCAGCAAGGAGAATGCGGAGGCCCCGGCCGCCACCCCCAAGGCTGGCAAGCACAAGAACAAAGAGAAGCGCAAGGACTCCCACCACCACCACGCTTCTGCCAGCACCACGCCCAAGCTGCCAGAGGTGGTGTACCGGGAGCTGGAACAGGACACCCCTGACGCCCCGCCCCGGCCCACTTCCTATTACCGGTAAGGCCATCTCTCGTCGTCTTCGGGAAAACTGGTCAGACAAGGCCCAGCAGCCTGCGGGATGTTGGGCAGGAGAGTCACTGCGATGCAGGGTAGAAGA